CAAGTACATTAAATCACTGAATACAATAATTCCCTGTGCGTACAGAGTGCTGTCAATCAGAACTAGCATTTCACCAGTTTAAATCATAGGTAGAATGAGTATATATAAAAGAAAAGGGTCTGAGTAGGGATTGGTCTCCTGAGGAGAAGGATAAAAATACAGAAGGGAACTACAGTGATTTTTTTGCACAGATGCGGTACACTTGAGTGCTTTCATGATGCTGATTTACTGTGTGAGTTTTTGTGGGTGTGCCTTTTCTAAATAATAGTTTTGCAGTGCAGTAATGGTCCAGAATGTACTTTTGCAAAGCAAGCCAGAATAACATTGAATTGAGACAGTAGTTTAGCCAGGAGAATCTCTTAGCTAATCTGTTGGATGTAGAGTTAGTGTTACAGTGAGAGAGGCAAATAATTATAGACAAAAAGAAATTGCTCCATTTTTTTCATGATAGATGTGAAAGTGACTGTAAATGATATATGTTACTCTCATCCAATCACAGTAAAAGGGTTGCAAACAGTACGATGTAAGTACCAACACAGGCCAGCATTCCCTGAAGTACTGAATGCTTTTCTTTTCAGAAAACAGAAGTCAAAAACTTGCAGAGGAAGGGCAGCAAACCTCCCAGCAGGTTTGATATCTCTTGAGATAGCAGTTTGCATGTAATTGAAACACGAGGTCATTCAGAGTGTTAATAGTGGAAATATTTAATTTTTTTTGTAAAAATACAATCTAATTATAAGTTCATATAAAAATATATTTGAAGTGGAATCAATCCATAGTTGAAATGAGTACCTGCGTGGTTGTTACATTAATCATCTTTATGCAGGTGCGTAATTTTTGGTTTAGAAGAGAAAAGAAAAGTAAAAAAGAAAAAATAATTGCTGGCTTGTAACGGTGAGACACCAGTTTCTTTGAGGATGAGCGAGTCGATCCTTTTTGAAACCTTCTTAAAAAAGATCTTCTGAAACATTTAAAAAATTGCTGAAACAGTGTACTTTTCATTTTCTGAAAAGGGCAGCTGATAAGAAAGAGGTTCAGGATTATAACTATGTGTTATATTTTCCTCAGGAAGAGCTGTTAACTGTCCAGTTTATCAGTGAAAGAAGGATAGCACGTTCACCCTGACACCTGGGGAAGAGAGCAGGAATCACTGTGGAGCAGCTGACTGCTGCCAGCTCTCAGCCCAGCTGCCTACCAGCACTCTATCTGTACACACACATTTTGCCACATTGCAGTGGGGCTTCTGTGATGTCTTTGCTTGTGAGAGGTAAAACACTATTCCAAATAATTTCAGGGTTATGTACGCTGAGTGCCATTACTTCTAATGGCATTCTTTGCTCGGGTTACCAGATAACATTATCATTGTGACATTAGCTATACTGGGATCTTGAAAGACATGGAGCTCTTGGAACAAGTCCAGAGGAGGACCACTAATCTGATCAGAGGGCTGGAGCACCTCTTCTGTGAGGAAGGATTGAGGAAACTGGGCTTGTTTAGCTTGGAGCAGGGAAGGCTCAGGGGAGATCTCATTGCAGCCTTCCAGAACTTGAAGGGAGCGTACGAACAGGAGGGGGAATGGCTGTTTATGAGGGTGGATAGTGATAGGACAAAGGGGAATGGTTTTAAACTGAGACAGGGGAGGCTTAGGTTAGATGTTAGGAGGAAGTTTTTCACACAGAGAGTGGTGACACACTGGAACAGGTTGCCCAAGGAGGCTGTGGATGCCCCATCCCTGGAGGCATTCCAGGCCAGGCTGGATGTGGCTCTGGGCAGCCTGGTCTGCTGGTTGGTGACCCTGCACACAGCAGGGGGGTTGAAACTGGACGATCATGGTGGTCCTTTTCAACTCATGCAATTCTGTGATCTTTTGCTACTGGAGACTGATCCATTCCAGTTAGATCTGAGAACTTGTACAGAGTCCCTAATCATTTGCAGATCTGCCACACGTCATGTCACCTGTGACTGGGTTGTGGGTACTGGTGGCTTCCCATTTTGTCATCCTCAACATCAACAAGTGGAATTGCATATCTAACAGTCCCAATATTAACTAGTATTTATGAGTTACAGATCTCTGTAGTCTGTGTGCATGTATTTTGTGTGGAGAAATACCATTCTGGGAATGGAGTGTTACCTGGCTGTTGACCTCTCTGAGGATGTGTGAGCCCTTGCTTGGTGTTAGCAGAGTGCTGAGCAGAAGTTGGCTGTCACCTGGCTGGTGCCTTTGGTTTGAATGGAGGGCTGGAGGGTCCTTCTGGATTTTGCTGTGAGATTATAGACTGTTTGAAGAGAAGCAAATAGGAGTATCCAGATGAAATTGATTTGAATATATGTTATCACTGAGAGCCCATTTCTGTTTTTCTTCAATGTTTCTCCAGCCAAAACTGAATCCTACAGTTACTGCAGCAGAAACATGAAACAAAATGCAATAGTGAAAGTGTGTGCTTGAGGCGCTTTATTTCAGCTCATTTCACAGATGTTAAAGTAACAGAATGGGAAATGTAATTGACTAAAGGCTTCAGGTACACTTGAGCTTTGTTATGGTACAGGAATTATATGTATTTGCTTCTTTGTGACTACAGTTAGCTGTGGTGCAACCAGAAACTTGTATAATGCTGCTTTTACAAGTGGTGACTGCTTAAAACAGATGCCTTATATTTATATGAAAGTAAATAACTGTAGTTATACCAGTAAATTCATAGAATGGTACTGGCCGTATGCTTGATCAGTGTTGTAATACTCTTTATTAAAATATCCTTTTATAATGGGGCAGTAACATCTAGAGTGCTGTAGTAACATTTACATTGGTGTAAATTTGCAAACTTTATACCTATTATTACTATTTACCAAGCTAAACCAAGCCTATCCAAGTTTACTTTTACACCGATGGATATAAGATAAGCAGGCAACTGTTTGTAGCCTCATTTTTTTCTACTGTCTCCTTTTTCAATTGAAGTCCTTTTTTGTAAATAAGTGATTATTTTTTATACTTACAGTGGAATACGGTGTTTTGTTGTTATTGTTTTCTTTAATAGGTTGTGTGCAGTTAACTTTTAATTGTAAACAATTTGATTTGTAATTCTGACTAGAAATTGGCATTATTATTTCTTTGATTCAGAGGAAATTTGTCACTACTGGCTACTAAGAAAGCAATTCCAGTTGATGTGATGAGGCTTAGTTTGAAGGTAATTGGAAGTTGGACTGTGACAAATCCTTCGTATTAATGAATGGGAACAGTTTGTTGTGACACGACACCTCATTAGCTGACAGTGTATAACTGAAGTGGAACAAGGGTCGACTTAACATGTTGCACCATCTTAAGTTTTAAGTTAATGTAATTAAAATAAATGAAACTGTATTTGGCACTCCTCAATTTAATTATGCGGAATATGTATTTGCATGTTGCCATGCACTCATTTGAGCATGTAGTATATTAGTTTAGGCACTGTTGATATTATTCTATAAATATTTTTCATGTGCAAATACTGTTCAGCAAAGCTAATGTAATTCCTCAGAATTTCGCAGGTGTATTCAAATGATGGTAAGGCTGTGTGAAGTATTCCTATGCTTACGTTGGGAAACAAACAAAAAGCATGGAAATTTTAGGTTTCATTTTTTGAAATCTAGCTGTTGTGAGAAATAACCTTTATCAAATCTTAAATTCAAAATCAAATACTTTAGTTATGCAGTCATCTTTGTCTGTCTTTCTGGGAAATCTTGTTGGAATGGGATTCAGATGGAGGGGAAATGGTTCTCTTTGGCAGAGCTACGTGCTGTCACTTTCATGTTTCTGCCAGCACAGACTGGCTGCTTCTCTGGTTGGTGCCGTGCAGTGACAGCACCGTTCTCTTAGCAGGAATGTTAAGTCCAAGGAAATGTGGGAAGGCTTAGTGTGTAAAGTACACAGAAATATGAAACAGAATTAAAAGGGGCACTTATACTTTCAAAGGCAGAAAAGGAACATGTTTTCTATTGTTCGGGAAAAACTGTTGAGTTTCTTTTGGTATGCAATGTTTTATGGAGATTTCTTCAATTGTATCCAGGGCTTTATTAGGTATTAATGAATTTAAAAACTGGAAAGAAGCCATTTGCAGTGTAATTTGCATTTTTTACACAGAACTTGCCAGTAATTTTAGTTTTGAAAGGTAAAGCACCTCTGTGAAATGTTCAGTTTGACTTCACTGCGTTAGAAAGCAATGCTGGATGATTAAGAGGAGAGTTGGTCCCTCTCAGTGATTCATGGTATCCCTGCTCCATTACTGGCCCCTGAGCATCCCTCAGGCTGCTGGCCCAGGAGGGATGGGTGGTGAGGTGCACCACAGTGCTGCTCATGGGGGGGGCATTGATGTCAATGGGGTGTCATGTTGGGGAGTGCTGTGGGTACTGTTGGGAACAGAAGGCTTGTAGAGCTTACATGCAGTTAATTTGTAGAGGGAATTCAGGACACAAATTGCATGAGAAATTTGATTTTGTTCCAAAAATAATAGTAAAAGTGTTAGCTTACAAACTGAAAATGCTACTACCTGACTTGGAGAACAGTGATAGAATTCATGTGCTGTGTACCATGTCAGTTTTATTAACTGGATTTAATTGCTCAAGTGTTGTGTATTAAACATTGATACTGTTACTAATATTCTCAGTTCCTTCAGCATTTCAACCTGATGAACGTGACAAGTTATAATATATCAAATTAGTTGTTTCATAGATTGAGGATATACACAAACTGCTTGCCAGTTTGTTTTTTTGCTTGCTACTGACTTTTCTTTACTGAAAAGTAATACAATGAAAACTGCCTTCTGAAAATCAGAACCATGGAATATACCCCCTTCTGTACTGTTCTGGGAAGGAATTTCACTTCCATATTAACTCTGCTTACTGAAAATGCTGCAATTTTATATTTTTTCTTCCAAGACTGTACAATTTTATTTATCTTAGATATGTTTATTTCTTTGCAGATATTGATGTATGCAACAGCATCTAAACTACTTATTTTCCTTCTACAGGCTGCTGAATCAGGAATAATAAAAGTGAAAACAATAGCTGCACGGAACACTGATATTTTGGCAGGTAATTATTTGCAGTGCAGTGGGAAAAACAAACTTGTGTTATAGATCAAAATGTTAAAGATACGTCTTGGATATGTGCTGTAATCCTAAATGCCTTTTAGTGTGTGCAATATCAGTGATACTATATTTGTAGGTACCTAGCAAAAAAAACCAGGAATGCTGAGAAATTCTACTTCTGTATCATGCTCATGCTATATTAATGCTGCCTGAGCAAGGACTCCATTTTCAGTGACTGTTCTAAAAAGTAATCATCCACTTAGAAAAATATGAAATTATTCAGCTTCACATTCTCCATGTCTTATTCACTGCCACAGCTGTTGTTGAGTGTTCAGTGTGGAGTTCTGGAGATCCTCATCTGTGTCTTTACTGTGAGAGTCTAGCCTTTGGAGACTTGTACCTGGCAGGCAAAAATCCATCTTAATCAGAGACAAGGTCATTCAATTTTGGATGCACCATTGCCTTGAGGGACAGGAGATATTTTGCAAGTTGCAGCTTTGTAAGTGCTTAAAGCTGTTATCTCTGACTTTCCTCAGCTGTGTTAAATAGCATGTAAATTGATGGCTTTTTACCAATTGCTGGCAAAACCTTTGGCCAGATTTGAATGTCCCTGTATTAATGTCTGCCCCAGCTGTAGTCCAACTTCTTTACAGTACTCAATTATTTGAAAGGTCCAAATGAAATAGATGCAAAATTACTTCTTAATTTGAGGTATGCAAATCAGTTGTTGTTAAGGAGGCACTTTCTAGAAGTATTTGAAATAGCAGTCCCATCCCTCAATATTTCCCTTTAATGCCTCTTTTTTATTTGTTTATTTTCTTTGTTTTTACTGCTGTCATGAATGCTGACATAAGTGGAAAAACTATGCCAGGTAATGTCAGCTATGCATCAAAACACACAAATGAACAAGAGAAATCTCCAGTCAGCCATTTGGGAAGCTAGCAACATTCTTCGACGTATAGCTGTATAAAGGTCTTTACATTTTAGAAAACTATATTTTTAATTTCCATTTCAAAGCGGGAAGATGTGAAGAATTATTAGTTTGAGGCATGGGTAGGCAGTCCTTTATCTTTCTGAGGGAATGCCTTCTGATTGTTGGTCATATTTTGTTACTAGTTTTCTTTTGTAAGGCTTATACTAGAATGTAGTCAGAATTTGTTTCATTCATCAAAACAAAACTGTACAGGCTTGTTTCTTTTGATAATAGGCTAATAACTTTTTTCCCATTGAGAAATTGAGGAACAAAGGGTAACTTACGCTGTGCCTGCGCATTATCCTGCTAATTTAAATGCAGTGCCATTGAACATTCTCAACTCTTCATGGACTCCTGTATTTATTTTATTTTTTTTAAGAATCAGTTGTAACCTGCTCTTGTAGATGAGTTAATATCCAGATTCTCTATTGTCTCCCACCTGGTATTTGATATTATTTTGAAGGAAGTTAGCACGTATACATTAGCTGAAAAAGACTACTGTAGTTGTGAAGTTTTGTGGAGTAAATATTTTTGACTGTTGGATGATTTATTAATATCTACCAGACATTCTGTTAATGTAAAAATATATTTTCATTAGGATATTATTATTAGCCATAAACTGTTGATTCATTAAAGTAGGTAACTATATCAGACTTTTAAAAATAAGCTGACCTGATGTTTTCTTGAAGCTATACACTGTGTGGAATTATAATTACCCCAAATAATTAAAAACGGAAAACAGATGTAATTTTAAAATGACAAACTTATTGTGATAACACAGTAGTAGTGCTGTGTCTGGTGATACATCTAACTTGCCAGAATCCTGAGGTCTCTGATGTAACTTGTTTCTTTCTCTTGAAAAAAGTTGAATAGTTTCGGAATCTTCATTTTTGGCAGCCTGCGTGTGCTTTGGAGTTTATTTATGTGAACTTGAGTAAATCCAAAGAGAAGTCAGCTTGTGATTTATAGCATGGGAGACAGATGTGAGAAATTATTTCCACGTGGCTCTGAGATGTTCTGTTTTTAGATAATTCATGCTTTTGCTTTAGAAATTATTTTTAAAAGATTGTGACCTTGCTGATGGAGTGAAGTAGTCTCTTTTTCCCCAAATTTATTTTTGATGTGGTTCATTATGATAGATGTCTTTTTAAATAAAATGTTACTTAATTTTGGTATGGCAAATGGAAGCACAGCTGGATATAAGAACATTTTTGTGTATTTTAAGACTGGAACTCATGTAGTAGTTGATACCAAACTAGATCTACCAGATGTTTATTTCAGCTTCATAAAGTGAAAGTACTTGTACAGATTAAAGAAAAAATACTGTAGAAAATTTGTTTCTTTTTAATCTCTGTATTTACTGTTAAATCCCATGCAGTTCTGCCATTCAGAACTCTGTCATGAATCTTAAGTGTTTTATGTTATCTTTTTTAAAAAAACGTTTCTTCTTTCTATTTGATGGTTTGAATTTGTTGGTGAGTCAGAAAGTTGTGTGAGTAAAGAAGCATTTGTGTCCACTTGTGAGTGAGCTCTGTTGGCTTTGTTATAGGAAACAAAGCAGCTTAGCCATTTTTTCGTGCTGACACATGCTTAAAATTACATCTTCATTCACATTTATGCTGATGTTTTATTATTTTTGGTAATGCATTTGGTACAAGATCAGCCTCTTTCAATTGCGCATGCAGTAGTTGACTTGGACTGTGTATGTGTTACCCATACAAGATACTGCCTTATGTTTGGGCCTTTTTTCAAATAGCTTATAGTGATACTTAATAATAGACCTTCATGACAGCAAAACTTCAAAGTCTTCAATAACTGATTATAAAATTGATAAACTTCACATATTTATGTGAGGATGTTTTTTTTTTCTTTCTTTGTGGTGATATTTGTGCTCTACACGTGTTTATTATTACAGATAGCTAGAATGCATGGGAATGACATTCAGTGTAAGTTCTTCACAATTGTCAGCCACGAGGATATTTTTAATATATGAAATAAGGATGTGCAGCTAAAGCCTTAAAAGTTTGCATGAATCTCGGCTGAACATGAGCCAACAGTGTGCCCAGGTGGCCAAGAGGGCCAACAGCATCCTGGCCTGCATTAGAAATGGTGTGGCCAGCAGGAGCAGGAGGTGATCATCCCCCTCTACTCAGCACTGGTGAGGCCACACCTCGAGTGCTGTGTTCAGTTTTGGGCCCCTCACTACAGGAAAGATGTTGAGGCCCCGGAACGTGTGCAGAGAAGGGCAATGAAACTGGTGAGGGGTCTGGAGCACAGGGCTTATGAGGAGAGGCTGAGGGAGCTGGGGTTGTTCAGTCTGGAGAAGAGGAGGCTCAGGGGAGACCTCATTGCACTCTACAACTTCCTGAAGGGAGGCTGTGGTGAAGAGGGATTTGGCCTCTTCTCCCAGGCAACGAGCAGGACACGGGGAAATGGCCGCAAGTTGTATCAGAGGAGGTTTAGGTTGGACATAAGGAAGAACTTCTTCTCTCAGAGAGTGGTCAGGCACTGGAATGGCTGCCCAGGGAGGTGGTGGAGTCGCCGCCCCTGGCAGTGCTCAAGAGGCGTCTGGACGACGTGCTGCATGATGTGGTTTAGTGCTTGTGGTGGCAATGGTGATGAGGAGACGGCTGGACTAGATGATCTTACAGGCTATTTCCAAACTTGTGATCCTATGATTCTATGATTCTATGAATCAACAATGCTATACAGAAAGCAGAAAAGCATTCATTGTTCTGGGTGTGCATTGCTTTGATCTTTCAGAAATATTTTCTTTTTTAATTTTATGAAGCTAAGCTTTTATTTCTAGAAATGCTCTTATGGGGAAAACATTTTTTAAAATGTCAGTGTGCTATGTTCTGTTAATTGTGAAGTTTTATCTCCTTTAAAAAAAAAAGTTTCTGAAACTTGTAATTTTGATGAAAATACTTCTCTTTAGGAAGCTACCCTTTCACATTTACACACTGGTTAAAAAATTCACAGCTGGGTGTGTTTATCCAGGACCTGTGTCCAGGATTCTCCAGCAGTTTTGTTGATGGCATTTTGCTCTTCTTCTTTTCAAGTATTTGGCATTTCTTGTGCCACACATTGTGTCGCTTTTGAATACAGTTCTGAGGTGATGCAGAGCAGAAGGAAAAGGCTCCTGGAAAGAGAGAGGTCAGCACTGTGCAGACAGCAAGAGCTTTGGTGTAGGCAGAATCTTACAGTTTGTGAGAAACCAAATTGGCTCTAAGTAGACATTTTGGATTTGGAAAGTTGCTCAAAGACAAAATGTTGAAAAAGGATAGAAGATATTTGGAATTAGAGCGTTAATGGTGGTTATGGCGGCATGCCTTGGCAGCCCGTTGCCTTTCTTCATTTGGCTTTTCCCTGTGGTACAGAAGTAACTCCCAGATTTCCAGGACTGGAGATTAAATTTTCATAATAGCTATGATTAACAGATTTTGCATTGTATTCTTCAAAGAATTAAAAATTGACTGTTTCCATGTCTCTTTTCAAAAGCACTGAAAGAGAACAGCTCAGAGGTAGTTCAGCCTTTTCTCATGGGTTGTGGAACAAAGGAACCAAAGATCACTCAGCTGTGTCTAGCAGCCATACAAAGACTCATGTCCCATGAAGTTGTTTCAGAGGTAAGATCAATCTTTACACAAATTACTAAGTGTTTCAATGTGAGTAGCACAGAGCTCAAACTGAAGATGAGTTGGTTTTTTTGAGGAGGCTCTTTATGTTACACTGAACACAGTTTGCAAAATATATTGCTCGTTTTGATTTAAAAATGTAATTTAGAAGAAAACCTTTTTCATCATTAAAAAAAATGTGGTGGAGAAAAATAATAACTTCTAGAAGGAATTTGTGAATATTCAAAAAAAAGCACTTTTAGTTTGCTTTTTTGTAGCGCAGGAACAGTCACTAATAAACCTGATTAAGACTGTATCCATGAAATTTATTCTATGTGAAAATGCTCTGTATTGTTTGTTGTGTGTTATTTTAAAAACAAAATAAATGTATACACATTTATTGCAACATGAGGTGATATATTATGGTGCTTCCATAAAGTGTGTTAAGAAGTTGGTGAAAATAATATATCTAAATATTTATTTGTGTTTGCATAGTATAAAATTATACTGTTACTTATCTGATATGAGCAGAAAATAAAGAACCCTCTTGAATTTGGACCATACAGTAAGAGATTGCTGTGATACTCAGTTACATACAATTATGAAAGTGCTGTTCTGACAGGTGTACACATGACGTAAATGATATATAAACATCATAATTATTGGCACAAAATGACTTCTTTTTGGTAGGCTGCAGCAGGAAACATTATAAACATGCTTTGGCAACTGATGGAAAATAGTCTTGAAGAACTGAAATTGCTTCAGACAGTTCTTGTTCTTTTAACAACCAATACAGTTGTGCACGATGAAGCACTATCCAAGGTAAGTACATGTTAGTGCCAATTATAGTAGTTATAATATCCAAGAGGAAAACTGGGAAGAAGTTTTATGTATAAAGCTCTTGGAAATAATGGAAGAAGAGGGAGATATCTTGAATTTTTTGACTCTGTATTGGCTTTATACTGAACCGTGAAAATAGGATTTCTTTTATCTTCCTTTTCACTCTGTCTTTTAATTCCTCCACTATAAAAATTCCTAACCTAATGGGAACATTAAATAAAAAACACTGGGTAATGCTTATTCTTTGTTTTCTATGTGTTCAAACTGAAATAAGCACACATAGCACAGCTTAAGCTGTCATGAATGCAGCAAATATTAGAAGCTGCCCCCCACCCTGCCTTAAATCTATCACATAAGTTGTACAGTTATTGCTTTTTCAGTCAGAACTGAAATAATGTTATGGTACAATTTTAAACTAGTACTGCTTTGGATATTGTGTTCTAGCTGAAACAAAAAAACACAGGTATTCTGATCTCGTTATATTTGTGATATCCATCTGCAAATTATGAAGTTTGATTTCTTGATTCTATGTAGGTATTCTTTTTTTAACATAAGGAATTTTTTTGACAGATCACTGCAAACTTCCATATTTGTTTTCTTTGTCTTCCATGTATTGGTTTAATATGGGACGGTTTTGTGTTTCCTTGAGAGAACAGAATTCAAGAATATTTTTAAGGTGTTCTGCTCTGACGAAGGGATTTGAGTTATTCTTTCCTTCAGATTTTGGAGAAATATCTTTGCAGTTAGATGAGTAGTTACTAAAAGCATTACTAATCTAAGCAAGGAAAGGAAAAACATGAAAAGAAATGAAGGCTGGGTTATAAAGGTCTGCTGAAGGCAGAAAGATGATGGAAAAATGTGTAGATGGCAGAATGGAAATTTACTGAGGATTGAAGGATTTGCCGGTCTGTCCATTTTGTCTTGGGTATTTGCACTATGGCAGAGACACTGCATCACCAACTTGTTTCTTTATTCCACATGCTGCTCATTTTCCATATTAGATGCTGTGTTCTAGGGCAAAATAATATTTTTTGAAGAAAATGTTTATCATTTAGAATGTAGGATTCTCAGTAGCAGATGTTCTAAAGCAATGTGTGGTAATGTTATAGATTGAATTTAGGCTGTAGAAGGAGGCAAATGTTCACATGCTGCGATTACTAGAAAATCTAATTGCTGCACTGTTAACAAATTGTTTACAGCAAAATGAAAACTAGTGTATTTTAGAACTATATGGTCAATTTGGGGCAGGCTTTGTCTGAGACGAGAAAAAAAATTCATGTTTTTATCCAAGGCTTGGAATCACTAGAGTTTCTGAGTTGGTCAAATGTAAGCCTTAATTAATATGAATAAAATAATGGGTTGGTTTGTTTGCTTTTTCCCACAAGATTATTTGGAGAACTGTTTGAAAGGTTTTTTTTTCCATGTTGAAAAGTTCATGAAGAAAATGAGTTTGAGGCAGATGTGTGTTGAATATTCATGTTTCAGCCTGAGTGATTGAAATTATGAAAATTACTGGTAAACCTTCTTGTAGAGACCCTTAATATGCACATTACAGTTAGATTAACCTGCAAGTAATGCAACATTTTTTGAAAGTCCAGAAGTGTATGATGTATGGCATAATCTAAGTGGAGTCCACAGATGGTTTACAACAAAAAAAAGGAAGTAAAAGGAAATTGTGACTCTTGTATGGCAGCACATGGCACCGTGCCTGGGTGTGGCTGAAGTTCATGCAAGTGCAAGGTCATGAAATAAAGGTAGAAGAGCAAGAAATACAGGTTTTACCACACATACAGATGTTAATCTTCAAAATTCATTATAAGACCATTAATTATGAAATTATGTGTTAGATGCAATAACAAATCCAATGGCAAACAATATTCAGGTCACTGCCTGCACAATGGCACATCAAAATATGCACCTTGGGAGGAACGATAGCAGCCCAGCTAACGTGGTTATTTAAGTGTTGTGATTTATGTAGTAGAGGAACTGTGTAAAGTTATTCACGTTTTAGCTTTGAAGTTGCCTAATGTTTCTGTAATTAGCTGTATAATCCTGATGTCCTTATTGACCTTAATGTTCATACAAATTGTTTTATGTAGTTGATTGCTGTGTGTTCTCAGTATGATGGTTACTGTTTTATTGGTGCATTGTAGCATCATCTGTTATTACCACTTCTGGTTTACTGTTAGGGAGGATTACTAAAGAGAATTTTGGCTAGAATAATCCATAAGAGTTATTCTGGTTCTTCAAATTTAAAGTGATAGAACTAGGTTTTTTCAGGCAACCTTTTGACAAACGATAGTGGAAAATATTCCCCAGTCAGCTATCTTGACTTAGCTAAAAGGTGAAGATTTACTGCTGTGAGGTGATCTATTTATTTATTTATTTTCAGGCAATTGTACTTTGCTTTCGATTGCACTTCACAAAAGATAATATCACAAATAACACTGCAGCAGCTACAGTGCGACAGGTAGTTACTGTGGTGTTTGAGAGAGTGGTTGCTGAAGATGAACGATACAAAGGTGAGCATACTTTTTTCTCTGCTTGCTTGTTTTAGCCTGTTTCAGCAGACATCAGGTGTTTATCTTTTTCAGATAACGTTATGAAAGATCTAAGCATTATTCATTTTTATGGTCTTTTGTACGTTGACTTGTATTTACAAGTGATGAAATTTTCAGTGCCAATCCAAGTCAGTACTATATAGAGAGATTGATATAAAATAATAAAAAAAATCTTTTTTTTTTTTCTTTTTTTTTTCCCCAAGTGTGAGAGCTTATCTTCAGGTTAGTATTGTGGAGGAGTTTGGGGTGAGGGAGCCAATTAAAGTGAAGATACCTTAGAACACTTAGTGTGGAATAGGCCACAACAGTGGTTCTAAAGAGGGCATTCATTGTAAAGAAGAGCTTGGTATTCGTGATCTGTGGTATTCCATCTAATCTCTATTTCTATAGAAATAATAAGCTATTGAAGAATTATCTGGCCATTCTTTTAGAACCTCTTTGTGAGAACACTTAATGTATACTTGATTTTGAACAGTTCCTTGGTTCACAAAACTGATTTTTGTTTTCACACAGACATTATTGAACAGCCAGTTGCAGTTCAAGGAAATAGTAACAGAAGATCTGTCAGTACACTGAAGCCATGTGCTAAAGATGCATATATGCTTTTTCAGGTAGTTGGGCAGCATATGCTTACACATTTGCAGTTGTGATTGGGTGCTCTCTGTCTCTGTAAGAAATTTCAGAAATTTGTTTTTTGGCATATTGGTGAGGTCCTTAACTAGAGCTTCAGGCCTTCTTATATGTATTTATTATAATTGGCAATAATATGCTGTATCCAAGAGGGATGGTTGGAAAATGAAGACAAAGTGGCGTAAGAAAATGCTTTATTATGAATCTTAAGTATGCATGTTGACATTTAGTTTGAAGTTCTTATTTGCTTTAGCCACACACTGCTAGCATAGTCATACTTTTTGTCTTTAGTAATGTATATTAGTGTAAAATGTGTGACAAAAAGTAAGAATTGTATTCAGCATACCAATAAAAATTTCTTGGCTTTGCAAAGTCACTAATCTTGAGATATTTTTGAGGGCAAGAACAAACAGAATTACTGCAGGGATACCAGCAAATAAGTAATTTTATTTTATTTTATTCTATTTATTTATTTTCATAAGAACTTAAGATGTGTTTGAGGAAAAATTGCTTTGAAATTGTTACTTACCAAGGATACAATGTGTGTAGATATTGTTGTAGACTCAGGAAATTATTACAGCAAAGGACTCTGAAGAAAATCTAAATGTTACTGTGTTTCTTTTTAAGGATCTTTGTCAGTTAGTTAATGCTGATGCTCCTTACTGGCTTGTTGGTATGACAGAAATGACCCGAACTTTTGGCCTTGAACTTCTTGAGTCAGTCCTCAATGACTTTCCACAAGTGTTTTTACAAGTGAGTAGTTGTCAGAGAGAAAATTAGGAACTCTTTTCTTCACGTGTGTAGTAATAATTCCACATCATTAACTCTTTAATTTAGCATGAATACCACTTTCAAAAGAAACAGACTATTACATGTTTGATCTTTTAGTTGATGGGGAAGTAGTGCTTTTTGACCACCTTTTTTTTTTTCTTTCCATCACATTCAATTTGTGCACTCTGTGGAACATGTTGCTCTGTTTCATATTTTATTTTGCCTGTTGTATCCCTATGAAGTTGTATTTTCCTATCTTGAATTATGTATAAAACTTTCGATGATTGAGCTGCGTAACTTAATGAGAACATTAACTCTGCAACACTTGCAAAGTAGAAGCAATTATAACTCTGATTTGTGTGCATCTACTGCATACTAAGGCACCATAATCTTGTGGTAGCATATTTTAGCAGATGTTGTCTAAATTAAGAAGCTTAATATGTAAAAACTGATGTACTTGCAGGCTATTGTTGTTTGCAAGATATAGGAAGAGGAGTGCAAGTATGTACCTGAGAGTGTGATTTCATCATGCTTTTTGGGAACTTTACAATATCTGCCACTCTTTTCATTTCACTAACATTTAATTGATACCAGGATTTACATGACTTCAGAGTCCCCGATCTTAACAGTGCATGTAAATAAGATGCATAATCAGTGCTACTGATGGCAATTGAAGAATATCTGTTAATAATTTGTTTTGAGCATGAGTTTTTCTTTCATTTTCTTTCAGCATCAAGAATTCAGTTTTCTTCTTAAAGAAAGAGTATGCCCTCTCGTTATAAAGCTCTTCTCCCCGAATATAAAATTCAGACAAGGTTCTAGCACATCATCTTCCCCAGCACCAGTGGAAAAACCATATTTCCCCATCTGTATGCGCTTGCTAAGAGTAGTTTCTGTTTTGATTAAGCAGTTTTACAGTTTGCTGGTAAGAAATGCATTCAAATTTTCCTTATGCTATCCTGTTTTGCCATGTATATGCCATTGCTGTGGTAAATAATAGCATAAGTTCATAGCTGGGAAATGCTGACTTGAAAGAAGAAAAGTGTAAAAATCATCATTCTCTTATAGATATTTGTGTTTACCTGTATGATACACATATGATTTTGTTAACTGTAGACTTTCATAAATTCTTAGAATAGGTTAAGTGTTGTCTTTTTTGTAATGGACTGATTTGGTTAAGCCAGTTTTGATCTTATATTGTTTACCTGGCTTTAAATATTGTCAACTACTGTGCTTTGTCAGTAATTGCTAAGAGGCTTTGGACCTCTGATGCTAAAGCTGTTGACAGAATGTTCATAAAAAACACATGTTCAGCTGTTCTTTACCTTCTAAGTGTTAGGCATTTACTTAAAAAATAATCTTTTTTTTTTCGTTTATTTACTGTAGTGCATTTATTTTGTAAAAGTATCTATAAAGAATTTTAAAGCCTTTAATACAATTGCATATGTACTGTTATCTTGTCAAAACAATACTATAAGTACTAGATATGGTTTTTGTATGTTTTTTGAGTAAATGCTTGTTGAAGTGTAGTTGTTTGTTTGTTTGTTTGTTTTTTTAAACCTGTGCATAACTTGTTTTAAGATGACACAAGAATTCAGGAAAGATATTTTGCATAAAGATTTTTCTTTTAATTCAGTGACTATAAACTCTGTATTTTAGGTGACGGAATGTGAAATATTTCTGTCATTGCTGGTTAAGTTTCTGGATGCAGACAAACCACAGTGGCTAAGAGCTGTTGCAGTAGAATCTATTCACAGGCTTTGTGTGCAGCCTCAGCTATTAAGGTATAACGTACAGCAAGTTTCCCTCTTACTTACATTTTAAGAAATCTTGTTATTTTTCTTTGCTGGAAAATGCTTTCTAAAACATTTTAAGTAGGATGAAACTTACATTCAATAAACTCCTGAAGGTAATTGTATATAAAGCATTAGGCAATGCTGATTACCCAGGAAGGGATGAATTACAGTTATTTGCATATTCCCAAAAAACATTTATCCCCAGCTGATGGGGTAAATGATCTGATTTGCAGAAAAAATTTTAGTCTCTAATTTATCAAATGGTTCTTATATTTTATAAAATACTTTTCAGGTCCTTTTGTCAGTCCTATGATATGAAGCAACATTCCACTAAAGTTTTCCGGGATATTGTGAATGCATTGGGGTCCTTCATCCAATCTCTATTTCTTGTACCAAGTACAGGGAATACATCAGTGACACCAAACCAAACTGGTAAGGCTTTGTCCTTATTATAGTTTTAATTTTCCAGTTGTTGTTTTTTTTTTTTCTTGTAATAGTAAATTCTGATTTGATTCAGTATATGCTTGGTTTGATACAGTCCTGTTCTTTATTGTTTATTTATCTGGAAAGCTAGCTTGAAACCAACACTGTAGCTCACTCTGAAAGTAATGCCCCATGTTTATTTCCATGGAAAATATGATAGATATGAAGAGTCCAGTAGCCTTATTTGATAGAGCAAATTCTCAGCTGCAAAACACTATTTTTCGACGTACCACCATTAGCTCTGTATTTTTGCCAGCAGTGAGCAAAACCCTGCATGCCACACTTGTAAAAATTTGCACCAGTGGAGGTGATCCACTGTTACTGTCAGTGCTGTTGAAATGCACTGCCCACAGCTTCACTGTGCTCACACCCACTTTTTGGTCTCCATAAACATTCAGCAAACATCGTCAATGAATGTCAGTGGGTGCAATTTTTTCTGCATGGAGGAATTAAATTCCACACTTCTGCTTCATACACACTTCCATGTCAGGCACTGTTCTGTCAGACTGCCCCTCTGCTGCTATCTGTCACACAGAAACAAAATGGAATGGAATATTGGCAGGAAGGTTCAGCCTCTACTGCCATACCACCAGCATCTGCCTCTGATGCCCTGTGCCAACATAATAAAGTATGAGGCATTACTTTCAGAGCAACTGAAACTTTCAGATCAATAATTTTCAGATCTGCTACAATAGATGATGTTACATACCTGTATCATGGAGAAGATTTAGCCCTCAAACAGCATAGTTGCATGTGTATCTGTTTCTACAGCTACCAAGCTCTTTGGTTCACATCTTTTCAGAAAGAAATTGAGAGATTTATTTCTAATTTCTAACTACTATAAATTGATTTCTGTCTGACTGAGAAGGATGTCACTTAGGGCTGTGTACAACTGAAGTTTTGGCCAGCATGCATTTGCTTCCTATTTTGAGAGACAATAGTATATTCTTCTGGATTTTTAAGGGCAAAACTGGACTGAGGAAGCCAAAGGGTATAAAGACTGCTCTGTGTTTTACAGATGATCTTTGTGTTTTCTGTAAAATGAAAGTAGTTGCTTACTGAAAATAAACTTGATTATCTTTTTGTGCAACCAGAGTTGTGGCATTTCTCTAGGTATATTTTATTGATTATAAGAAGGAGTGGTCTTCCTGTTAATCCCTTTGCAAGTAGTCACATCTGGTTTAGGGCTTTCTATTTCTTCCCAGGGTTCTGGAAGCATGTCTGCTGTTAAATAAATAAACATTAAAAAATCTGGGCTTAGACACATACTTTCCATATTTCCCTGATGAAGCTTGAATTAAAATTTGATGTTAATATTATTTACATTAATTAACTTGTTAGTAGTTGTTTGATAGTTACATGTATGGAAACTGTTAGTGGAATATTATTTCTGGATTAGTTTAATCCATTTAAGAAAATTAGAAAAGCAGTTTTCATCATAAAACACATGCACAAAGAAAACCATTCAACTTCTCCTCAAAACTTACACTTTCCATTCATGTAAAATGGGACTGCAGCAGGCTCATACTTTTAGTAGTATCATTATTTCCCTGGTTTGTCACTTCAGTTTGTTTCTCCTTTACCTTTTTACTTCTCTCTGACTGAGTGATTTTCATGTCTCTTTCTCATACGTTTCTTGTCTACGCTTTTTCTTCTATGGCCACAGCTGACAAAGAACAGATCAATGCAACTTGATTTTTGAATGGAATCTTCTGACTGTAATGACAGTCCTTTGGTAGCAGGTGGTTGTACCCACCTGGTTGGCTTTTGAGCTTTGCTTTTGCAACAGGGTAGTTGGTTCATGCCTTTTGCACAAAGCTGTGCCACATTGCTCAGAGTGTTACCCAGTCAGCTCTTGGGGACCTCTAACAGTGGAGACTGCAGAACCTCTCTGGACAGCCTCCTCTCCTGCTTGTTTCTTTCCTTATGGGTCTGTACCCCTTGTGATGCAATGTAAGACAATTAGTTCCTTCTGTCCCACCATACATCACTCCAGTGTGCCTGGAGCTCTTCTGGTTGAGATCTTCACAGAGCAGAGTGCAGCTGCTTTGAGGTTCTCCCAGAGATATTTCTCCACACTGAATGTAGTCAGCTCTTCCTCCTCCTCACTCACAGTACAAGTGCTCCATCGTCCTACCAGTTTCACAGACCTCCTCTAAACACACTGCAGTTTGTGCGTGCCTTGTAGCGTAGGGCCAAAACTGGATGCAGAATCTAGATGCAGTCTAAGAAATGCTGAGCAGAGTGAGGTAATCAATTCCCTTGATCTGCTGGCTGTACCTCTGCTAAGACGTATTGCTGGCCTGTGCTCACCAGCCCACCAGGGCCCAATTTTGTATCAGGGTTTTCAGACAGAAAATCAGAAGGATTTCTCTCTTGTGTCTATAGATAAAAACAGTGCCAGTTGGGGCCCTCTTTTTTCCTGCAAAAACCCTGAGGGGGAGAAAGACTTGTGGGTTCTAGTGGATGGAAAGCAGGATATGAGCCATCAGTGGCTTGGAAGGCCAACCATATCCTGGGCTTCATCAAAAGAGGGGTGGCCAGCAGGGAGAGGGAGAGGATTGTCCCCCTCTACTCTGCCCTTGTGAGACCTCATTTAGAGTACTGCATTCAGGCCTGGGGACCCCAGCACAGGAAAGATGTGGAGCTGTTGGAGTGGGTCCAGAGGAGGTCCAAGAAGATGTTCACAGGGCTGGAGGATTACACCTATGAAGAAAAGTTGAGCTGGCCTTGCTTAGGAGAAGAGAATTTTCTCACTGTGGCCTTTCAGTACTTGTGTAACTTATAAGGAGGGGGACTGACATTCAGACTGACATAGTCTGACAGTGATAGGGAACGGGGGAATAGCTTTAAACTCAAAGAGGAGAGATTTAGATTAGCTGTTAGGAGGAAATTCTTTAACCAGAAAGTGGTGAAACTCTGTAACAGTCTGCCCAGAGAAGCTGTGGGTGCCCCATCCATGGAGGCACTCAAGACTAAGTTGGATGGGGTGCTGGGCAGCCTGAGCTGGTGTGTGGCAGCCCTGCTCAGAGCAGGGAGTTGGAATTGCGTGTTCTTCAAGGTCCTTCCAACCCAAACCATTCTATGATTTTATGAGAAGGTGAAAGCTGCATCTGCCGAAGTTTTGTGTCATTCTTTTTTACTGTAAGGAATCGTGTTGAAAAGAATATTTTAACTGCTTTTGGTAGGATTGCAGAAAACCATACTGCTGTAATTACTTTCACATCAGTGGCAGTGTGTGGTTTACCAGTTTAGCAGTGTGACTTTTTTTTTTTTTAATCTGTTAAGCTTTACTATATTGAAGTGTGTATACATAGGTTTCTGCTTGTATTCATATTGCCTGAATTAGTAAATTAGCTTCTCAACGTGCTTACAAGAGAGCACACTGTTATGCTGTTGGTAGGTGCTGTGAGTCACCTTTGGAACTCTGCCTTTTTTCTGCATTGTCTGTACAGATAGAACCTAAATTTATGGCACGTCCTTCTAGCTCATGTATTCTTCTTTCCACGTACAGGAACCATATATGTACAAACTTCCTTGTCCTTTCATCTGGGGATTTTTTAATTTTTTTTTTTTTTCTTGAGTTGGAACCAGTACCTCCTATCTGCTGATTGGGTCTTCCCTGATGTTTTTTTTCTTCTGCTTTGGCATGGAACAGATTCAGACACTTCAGTTCTCTTCATATTCCCTACATTTCTGAAATCTTTAAAGTCAGTGATGATCTTTATTCTTGAAATGATCATCCTCTCTTTCCTACTACTACTGAGATCTAAGTGCAACTCAAATAGTCCTTAAATTTGAAAACGGATTGAATCTTCACTGAAATATTTATTATTTCATTGAGACCACTGATGTTCTGTTTGTTCAGTGTTAAGAATGCTGCTATGCCTGATACAGACACATTTTATTCTGAGTTAAAGTACTAAGGGGTGGCAGTTACTACAGAACAGCCATGCCTTTTAAACTGATTACTTTGCACATTGTACCGTGTTGTAGACAGCAGGGGGAGCTCAAAAGTAGTTTTTTGTGTTGGTGATGATGCATCAAGTAGGGCATCTCAGATCAATCAGTGTATTTGAAGTTAAAAAATTAAGTGTAGAAGAAGTGTAGAAAAAAATTATGTGTTTGCTGATTACTAAAGTTAGATTGTGAGAATGGTTAATTTTAACCCTTGGTTTTCCTGAACAGGAAGCAATGCATCAGGGAGCACTGGATCAGCACAGACAAACCCAGGAGTGCTTGGAATGGGAGGCGGTGCAACTGTATTACCTGCCTTTGAATACAGAGGTACCTGGATACCTATCTTGAATGTAACAGTACAAGGCAGTGCTAAAGCTACCTAGTAAGTACCACTATCTTTCTGAAAAAATATATAACAAATACTTTTATTTACAACTTGTCCAAGGCTTTTTTTTTTTGTTAATTAGTGAATAATGAGCTGTTCATTTCACTGATATTCAGATATATTATGAATTTTCTTCTTTTCAGCAGAGAGAGGTGGTCTAATTTTCAACTGTTTTGTCCAAATTATCTGGATTCCATTCTGAATATCCTCTACAGCTGTAGCATCTGTTGGATTTTATTTTTACTGTAGTGTTGCTGACTTAACTCTGCTTTTAGATCTTGGTATAGTACATAACAATTTCAGAAAGAAACATTTTGCCGCCTCCATTCAGGTGTCCTGTGCTCTGCTTTGAATTTGCTTGCATCTTAACTTTGGATCTCTCCAGTGAGTCCATGATTCTGTCTCAGTAATTTTTGCATTCTGTTTTTCTTCTGTGAAAGATAATGGAATTATTGCTACTCTGTCTTGTCAGCAGTTTGTTTCTCCAGTAGTCTCTTCACTTACGATATTACTGTAGATTTGGGTTACACCCTTGCTTTGATTTTCTGTTACTGCTGACATTAGGCTTTCCTAAAATTACCAGATATTGTATATGTATTGTACCAGATATTGATTTAATTGGGGACCTCTGTGAACAGAGCTAGCAGAGTTTTTTTCCTGGAGTGGGGCTGTTTTCTTTTGAATGCATGAAGACTTGCATTCAACATTTTTCGTGGCCATTCCCATGGAACTAACAACTCTATTCTGCAGTTTGCTTTCCCATCCTTGGAAGTTAGTGTGTATGATCTCCACCTCACAGGCGTGCTGTAACTATTAAACCCATTAGTAATTTTAAGTAGAGCCATGTACTTGTAAGTAGATAGAGGATGAAATGTATTGATGGAGGGAAGAGGGAAAAGCACTACATTGTGACTGCATTACACAACTGCTGGAGCAGAATTTAGGGACTTCCTTAGTTGGACTGTGTTACCCTCCACATTTAACATTGCTTAGAATTATAGAATCACAAGGTTGGAAAGGACCTACAAGACCATCTAGTCCAACTGTCCTCCCATTACCACTGCTACCACAGGCTACTAAACCACATCTCACAGCTCCTCATCCAGACGCCTCTTGAGCACTGCCAGGGATGGCGACTCCGCCACGTCCCTGGGCAGCCATTCAGTGCCTGACCACTCTCTGAGAGAAAATGTTTCTCTTTATGTTTAACCTAAACCTCCTCTGATACAACTTGTGGCCATTTCCTATGGAGCCAAACCCCTGCTCATCATAACCTCCCTTCAGGAAGCTTGTTTTCCTACATGTGAGTGTGTTGCTTTTTTCAGACCATCACCTAAGCCTGGATCACTATTGCTTTTTTTTTTTTTTTTGTCTGATGCCTTCTTTCCCATCTTTGGAATCCATTCAGTTTTACTTTTTTTTTCAGCTGACCTCTTATCCCCCAAACGTCACTTTTAGCGGTTCAACTTAAAATAGGTGTTACAGAAATCAGACTCAAGACTTCAAAAAATAAAGTAGCAATTTCTAAAATCTGTAACATTTTGATAAATGATATATTTGATTGTAAGCTAATTTAATGGCTTTACTTATCATTTTTTGCAGCAGAGGTTGTTTGACTTACTTCATCTTAGTCATTTTTTTCCTCTGTGCCACATTCTCCAACATAGTCAGGCATAAACTAAATTCAGTATGGAAATCCTGTGTTGTAGTGCTGATCCAAGATTCAGGTGTTGAAATCAGTACCTGTCTGAATGCCAAACAGTTGACAAAGCTATGCTTTATTTGTCACGACACTGTTACTATTTGCTTTTATGGAGTCATCACACTTCACACTCTGCTCTGTTTTTGGTGTTACAACTACTCTTTATTTATTGTTGTTGCTACTTTTTCAATATGAAATGAGTACTGTTTCTTCTGCCCTCCATCATGTCTTTAAGAGTAGAAAGAAAAGTTGAACGTTTGATCTACCTATACTTCATATTCCCTCAGATGCCTCAAACAGCCATCTTCAGGAAAGTTGAATTAATAAGTGAAGCATTACATGCTCAGGGAAAGGTGAATCTTTGGGCAGAAAGCTGTGGAGGCACTAGAGTGTAAAATCCTTGGTATACTGCAGTTGGAATGCCTAATCTGTTTAAGAATGTTTTGTAAAGCAAATCCTGGAACAGAAGTTGTTGGGATAGCAGGTCGTTTCTTTAACAGACCACCTTTGCTTGTGCAGATACTGCTGCAGCAGCAGCTATGACCTGTTTCTTGTTGGGCTTTTAGCCCAGCAACTCTTTACAACCTTTTAAGGTAAAATATGAAGAAAAGTGATAATGAGGCTGCATTTCTAGAATGATGACGATTTAACTGCATGATACCCAGCAGTGAAATCCAGCATTTCCTCTTTGTACAAGTAACTGCCATTGTCTACTATGCATGCAGTTTATGAATATTTACTCATATATTATCTTGCTGTGGCAGACTTTTCTGGTTGTATGGACTCAGCTTGGAACATTTGGCTTATCCTCAATTTTGTTATAAGAGTGCTCCCACTGTTGTGACTTTCTGACCTATTTCTTCTGTTTTTTTTCTATTTAATTATGTTCTTTGGGACACATTCACTTTCAGCAGCTATAAGTACTGTAAAAAAAGGAGAATAATTTATTGAGTGATACCTACTGTATGTATTAACTTCATAACTGTACTTTAGTTTACTATTTTACTTAATGCTTCATTTACCTTTTTAATTAGCTACTTAATCAAGTAGTTGATTTTCTTGAGTTGCTGTAAATTGTCAAGGTTATTTGGGGCCTGTTAGCACTTGGTATTGATTTGGAATCTTTGTTTTTGTTGCTGTTTTTAATCACAGTTGTAATATTACGTACCTACCTGTAATGCTTTCGATTTTTCAGTTTGGAAATGCTGGACAAAGTGGAACCACCTACAATTCCTGAAGGCTATGCTATGTCAGTGGCATTTCACTGTTTACTCGATCTTGTCCGTGGTATCACTACCATGATTGAAGGAGAGTTGGGAGAGGCAGAAACAGGCAGTCAAAGCACAGCAGAGACAACTTCATTACCAGCACAGTCTTCAAAGCATCAGGACTTGCAGTCTTTATCTGACCAGTCAGACAAAGAACTAGGTATTTGAAAATGCAAATGCTGTCTAATGTGCAACAGTTTTATGTAAAGCTGGATTACGGGAGTTAATGCTTTGTTGCTTGAATTTATTGCTTTAAAATCTTACATAAATATTTTTAATGATGGAAGAGGGTTTTTTTTTTTTGGTTTATTTTGTAACAGAACAGCAGTAGTCTTACAAAACTTGACTTGATATAATGCTTTTGTCCTCTAGCACCTTAGCTCTACATTCATTATAGTGAACTGATACTGTTTTACTTGTTTTGGGAATGTGAGAGAAAGATTAGGCATTTTGTTTTCCAGAATGGCTTTTCTTCCTTCCTGTGTCCTTTACTCTTCTTAAGAAGAAACTTAACTGAAAGAAATGTGCCAGTTAAGACTGTACTACAAATGAGTAGTAGTTACTAATGAGATGAAAAGAAAAATATTCTAATGGAAAGATTTTAAGCGAGTTACAAGTATGTGGGAAGAGCATAATTTATTTAAAACCGGAAATAATATGGGCTTGTATCTGTGCAAGATATGGAGAGTCTGTATATGTATAAGCAGAAGATCCATCTCATGACATGCTGACTTGTGTACCTGGCAGCTGAGATTCTATGAGCTGCTTTAATCATCGTCTGCAGTCCCTGCCAAACGCAGAGCCCTCCGTGAATGCTGCAGAGCTCTCCATGGTGCTGCAAGCAGCACAAGTTTGGCCTGGGTCTTGTAGTGGTTGAGGGAAAAAGAAAGCTCTGTGGACTTACAGGCACATTTTAATTTTGTTAGGCCAGTTTTGTTTCTTAATACATTAGTGAAATGAAGTGTCTGTATATATCCAGTAGCCTGGAAAGCGCTAAAAGACAAGGGGAGAGATAGTTCCTGCACTGCAGAATTTCAGTAGAATGTTTCTTGTTTGCCTGATATTCCACCGTTATGCACTTATGCATACGTGTGCACTTATTTTTGTAGAAAAGGATTAAAAATAGTTTTGTATAACTTTGTAGGATTTTTTGAAATGTAATTTAGAATAAGCATTGCACTCGTTACATTTTTACCTTAGCAATATTGCTATAAATCGGTCTGTTTAACTGGTAATGGTATGAGTGCATGCATACATGTATCTGTGCATGTGTATTTATATATACATATGTGTGTTTGTGTATATATACACACACAAACTTTAAAGTTCCAACACCAGACACTGTATGTTTGTAATAATATTTTAGTTCAGAAACTTTCTATTATTTGTTTCTACTTTAAATAATTATGTATTTATTTCAAGTTAGCAGAGCTGTTTGGGAAGAAATGGTAAATGCATGTTGGTGTGGTCTTCTTGCTGCATTGTCCCTCCTACTTGATGCAAGGTATTTGATCTTCCATTTCTCATGATCTTTCAGAGATGATATTCTCAGTTATACTTTGAACTGAGTTTGTCTGTTGGTTGACTGTTGTTTGAGAGAGCTATTCTTAGTATGCAAGAAGATGTCTGGGGGTTGGTGATTGCGAGGCTGAGTGAAGATCTACTAGGTGTAAACTACATGGAACCATTATTGTCCTTCAATACAGGAAAATTAATTTGAATTTCAAAAACTTCCATTTAAACTAAATCGTATTCTTTTTTAATTTGACTGAATATTTCAATATGATGAAGTGATTCTACTCACATTGTGATTAGTGTTGATAAGAATCTCAGTACTTGTTAATATTTCAACAATTGGTATTAATATACAGTCTTTCAAATGGAGGAGCTGTTTACTAAGTAATAACTTTAGTAACTATTGCATGGCTTTCAAAGAGTCTTTTTCTTATCAAACACTATTTTCTGAAATTGGTGTTAAATATCTCCTCATAGTCTCTTTTGTGAAGTCATTCATAACTGAGGAACAGTTTTATAGGAAATGGTTCTGAAGAATTTTGTTGATTGGTTGTGCTTGTTCTTCAGTGTTTATGGTGCTCCGATTTCGAAGTATGAGTTCTGATTGATTTCAGTTTGGGTTAGCTGCTTCTGTGCCATGGGTTAATTCTTAGTAAACAGTGTCTACCGTTTCAGCACTGATGAAGCTGCTACTGAAAATATTTTAAAAGCAGAATTAACTATGGCTGCACTCTGTGGAAGACTAGGTCTTGTAACATCAAGAGATGCCTTCATTACTGCCATTTGCAAAGGATCCTTACCTCCTCACTATGCTCTTACTGTATTAAATAGCACAACTGCAGCTCTGTCCAGCAAATGTAAGTATATAGATTTTCCTCTGTTGTTCAAATGTGTTTAATTTTGCTCTACACGTTGTCCATCAATCACAGAATCATGGAATTGTAGGGGCTGGAAGGGACCTCCAGAGATCATCTAGTCCAGCTCTCCTGCAAAGCAGGCTCCCTACAGCAGGCTGCACAGGTAGGCATCCAGGTGGATCTTGAATATCTCCAGAGAAGGAGAATCCACAGCCTCCCTATGCAGTCTGTTCCAGTGTTCTGTCACCCTTACTGTGAAGAAGTTTCTTTGCATATTGGTGAGGAACTTCCCATGCTGCAGTTTATGGCTGTGCTCCAATTTATGGCTGTAAATGTATCTAAACCCAGATTTTCTCAGGATGTAGTTGACTTCCTTCAGAAGAGGGTTGGCCAGCAGGGACAGTGAGGTGATTGTCCCCCTCTATTCTGCTCTTGTGAGGCCCCATCTGGAGTACTGTGTCCAGGTCTGGAGCCCCCAGTACGAGAAATAAAGAGAGCTGTTGGAGAGGGTCCAGAGGAGGACCACAAAGATGATCAGGGGACTGGAGCACCTCTCCTACAAAGACAGGCTGAGGAAGCTGGGCTTGTTCAGCCTGGAGAAAAGAAGGCTGTGAGGTGACCTCATTGCAGCCTTTCAATACCTAAAGGGAACCTACAAAGAGGAGGGGAATCAACTCTTTGAAAGGGTAGATAACAGCAGGATAAGGAGAAATGATTTTAAGTTGAGGGAGGGAAGATTTAGGTTGGATGTCAGGGGGAAGTTCTTTACAGAGAGAGTGGTGAGGTGCTGGCACAGGCTGCCCAGAGAGGCTGTGGATGCCCCGTCCCTAGAGATGTTCTAGGCCAGATTGGATGGGGCCCCGGGCAGCCTGGTCTGGTATTAAATGGGGAGGTTGGTGGTCCTGCATGTGGCAGGGAGGTTGGCGATTCATGATCCTTGATTCATGATTCATGATCCTTCCAACCTTGGCCATTCTGTAATTCTGTGTAAAGATGTACAACAGTATTACTGTTTGCCATAAAGTATTTGAGTATACTGAATTTAGCCAGAATCTAGAGTCAGAATCTAGACTGCTTGCTTTCCAGAACCTGCACCATTTATTAGGTCTAATTTTATCCAGCCTAAAACCTCCCCAGATGCTTAGTGTATGTCAGAAATTTACCTTCTAAGGAGGTCTGTCTATCATCCTAAAGATCTGTTAGGGTATGTAATTAAGGCATTCAAATTCTGAAAAAGTCCTTGGCAGGAAACTCAGATAGTCACTGACTAGAATATTGTGCATTTGTAGTGTGCTGTGGTTTTTTCTACAGTTGTATAGTGATTAATAGAACTTACTGCATAAATAGGTCTTAAGTTCTGGATGCTGTTCAGCTTACAAGAGATTCAGTTGATGCTTTCTACATCGTGAGATAGTGTTGTAAATCATTGGATATGCCAGTTGAGAATATACTCTTGCTAATTTTGAAAATTAATTGCTCTGTAGCCAGAACTGCAACTGCCTAGTGAGCAAGCAGGTGGATTTAACATTAGATCTCTTAAAACAAGAATGCTTCAGTATTAGAACAAAGACCAGAATCTTTCCTCTAGGCCGTGAACAAACTAAGTGTATTATGAGACCACAGGTATACAAAGCAGTACATATTACTGAGGTATTCTAACTTCTGTGAAGATGAAGCACTGATAATGGTATTTTATTTAGGTTTGTTTTACAGATGAGTTACAAAAAGGATCTGTGGTGTCTTGTATTGGGAAGACATCACTATGTAACACTTGTGAAATCTTCATTTTCTGAGTGCCATATTACAGTGGTAGCACACAGTTTATAGTACTAATAGATAATAACTGCAGATAACCCAGTTGAGACGTAGCCTGAGGCTTATCTTACCAACTTAGCAAAAAATTTTACTCTTGACATAAAATATATTTATATAGAAAAAGGGAGGGAGGAATTAGTACTGGTTCATTTAACCCTGTAGCATAATGATGTAGTAGTCTGCGTACAACCAAAGACTTAATTGCAGTCAGCTATCTTAAAGCTAATACTGTGAAAATAATTTCAGGAGGTTTGCCACTACTCAGGAGCAGTGGTTGTTGTTACTACAGCAGGTACTGGACTTTAAATTTGGATATTTTTTCATTTTCCTCTAGCATATTCCATTCAGGGACAGAATGTTCAAATGATCAGTCCCTCAAGCGAGTCTCATCAGCAAGTTGTGGCAGTAGGACAGCCCTTAGCTCTTCAGCCACAAGGAACAGTAATGGTAAGTACAACTTGTGAGTGATACCTGTCTTGCTTACTAACTTCTTTTTGCATCTTAGTATGTCTCAAAAGTGGCAGTAGGTAAGCAGCATTCTTACAAAGAATGAAATATTATCTTAAGCTTTCTTTTGGATGGCTGTCCAGGGCAGCATGTTTCAGAAACTGCTTTTATTCAGCCTGAATCTGTTGTTTGAAAAAAACTTGGGTCTCAGCTGTCATTTGTGCCTATATATAAAAGTTTGCTTATGTTTTGTCATAAGATTGACTTGGATTTTATAGAGAAGATGCATTTAAATCTGAGGTAATTTACTTTGTGTCTTCGATAATAATGTGATATTGGGAGGAGATGGCACTGATCAAATTGTATTCAAGCCCAGGAAGATTGAGAGAAGGAGAGATACTGAATTACTCACCTAAAAAAAAGATATATTGCACCAGTGCAGGCAAGATATAGTCTTTAAACTGTTTAGTAAAAAATTGCAGCCTTCCTAGTGTCATGGCTTAACCCTGGAGGGCCCTAAAAGACAGCTAAGCACAACTCAGGTGCTTAGTTTCCCACTCAGCCCTATCGCCACATCAGGGTGGGAGAAGAGAATCAAAAGGTTCAAAAGGTAGAGAACTTGTGGGTTGGGATAAAGGCCATTCAGTAAGTTTAAAAAAAAAAAAAAGTTGTAGCACACTGTGAGCTGCTTTGAAGAGAGCTAACTCTATTCCAGTCAAAACTCGTGCCTCTAGAAATACTATTACTGTAGTAATAAAACTATATATATATATATATATATATATTTTTTTTTTTTTTCCAGCTGACTTCGAAAAATATCCAGTGTATGAGGACATTGCTCAACTTAGCTCACTGCCATGGGGCTGTTCTTGGTACATCATGGCAACTTGTCTTGGCTACTCTTCAGGTATAACAGGAAGTATTTATGGTTTCTGATACCTTACTTTTTCATTATGCATACATTGGTTTTGAATTTTTATGTGACCAATAGAAAAAGCTTTGATTCTGATCCAGGCATATTTTAACTGCCTTGAGTAAATACTGTGGCATTTTCCTTGAATTTTGTTTAGTTGGAATGCTACCAGCTAGCTTGAATAGAACGTTAGTTTTGCTGCTGCTTGAGGAAGATTTCATGCTGAAAACCATCCTTGTGTATTTCAGCATCTTGTGTGGATTCTGGGACTGAAACCTGGTGTTGGGGGTGCCTTAAAACCTGGAAGAGCTGTAGAAGGGCCCAGCACAGTAAGCAAAGTTGCACATTTTATAGTTAACAATTATGTGGTATTTTCTGTTGCAGTCTGTAAGATACGTTTCTGTCTTTTTTCAAGGTTCTGACTACAGCAGTTATGACTGATCTACCAGTTATATCCAGCATACTATCAAGACTTTTTGAAAGCTCGCAGTAAGAAACCTTATAATTAAAAAAACATATATGTATCAAACTTGACAGTGTTTTGATAGTTGTTATTTTTCAGGTACCTTGATGATGTATCTTTGCATCACTTAATAAATGCCCTTTGTTCCTTGTCTCTGGAAGCCATGGATATGGCATATGGAAACAATAAGGTATAAAAAGAGTTCTTTGTTTTCTTCTTGTTTTTTTTTTTTTTTTTTTTTTTTTTGTTTGTTTGTTTTGTTTTTGTGTGTGTGTGTGTGATATACTTGTCTATATATACTTTATATTTATCTTATAAACTGACTGTTTCCAATATTAAGACAGCAACATATCTGATTTTTTACTCCAGAATAAAAAATAATGTTTCTATTAATCAGATTGTGAATAGATAAAACTCTAGAAAGCCCTTATAATTTCAGAGGTCAGAATTGCTGTCTGGCACACTATGTTCTGTTAGGTGTTAATTTTCAGTATGTTTTTAATAATACGCTTCAGATAAAGCATGACAACTCAGGTATTAAAAACCTACTGATTCTTACTTGCCTGGGGAAATAATAGTATTCCTGTCAGCCAGAGAAAATAAACCTAGCCCAGGATTGTTAAAGATCCTGTGATTGAAGAAAATTGAGCATGTCTTCTCCTAGTCATAATCTAATCCCAGATGAGAATTTCTGAAAGTTTTTACTTGATCTATTACCATAGAGATAATCATGATAGAAAATGTTCTTTGTAATATTTGACAATTACAGTAACAAGGCAGAAAAAGAGAATAAATTAAAATAAGTAAATGTTGTGTCTAAAATTAGTTGAAAATTAGAATTAAAATTCAATGGAAATGGGAAAAATTACATTGCAAATCATTTTTCAATATACATTCATTGATTTATCATAAGCTTCAACAAATCAGTGTTTGCATATGTATTTGAAGAATGGGAAATATAAGATAAAGAGTAGGGAGAAAAACGTTTTATTTTATTTGTTCATATACAATTTTTATCTTTGCAAGTTGTGATGGGTAAGAGACTGTTTTGCTAGTTAAACATGTAATAAAACTGGTCTTAGGGAGGCCTATGAGTGTAAAAACTAGGTTTTGGAGAAAACCATGAAAAATTAGGAAAAATGTGCTCTTGATTATATGCTGTTGCTACCCCCTTGTGGCTTCTCATGAAGTACTGCAGATGCTGTGGAAACTTCCCAGCTAGGTTACCTGGACTGTAAATGCTGTGATAATAGCTTATGAAATACAGCACTCCAATGGAGACTAGTTACATCTTAATTTACAAATCAGTGTAGTGAATGTCTCTGACATCATCTGAGTTATCTCAAAGTCATGTATTCAAATTCTCTTTTACTAAGGAACCATCCCTTTTTGCTGTTGCTAAATTACTGGAAACAGGACTAGTTAACATGCACAGGATTGAGATTCTTTGGAGACCTCTGACGGGTCATCTTCTGGAGGTAACTAATTGCACTAGAAATTAGCGTGCAATAAGGTATTGCCTTATGACAGTGCATTTTCGAAGTGTATGGGGTTTTTTTAAATCTAAAGTGTGTTTAAATGTGTTGTTTTATATATTTTTGCAGTTTGCATTGCAATTTTAATGTAAATATTTAAATTTCAGTATTTTATAGCTCTTACTGACTTTGTCTTTACGGTGCTGTCAATATTTGTGCACCATATATGCGTTATATTTACTGCAACACAAAGAGTTTTCATTTTGGAGTCAAGTGGTGCAAATATGTGGGAGATTTTAAGATGTATTTACTGAATAGATTGAAGCCATTAGATAAACCAACAAAGTTTTCTTGTTTGTTTTTAATAAATGTGAAGTAATACTTTCAGTTGTTTCTTGATGAGAATACCATTATAAAAATAGCAAAATAGGTGTCATTTGTAAAGTAAATATTTTAATTCCTAGATGAAAAATTGCTTTTGTCAAGGAAAAGATCTTATATTTAGAATTTGAAACTAAAACCAGATTACAGAGTGTACTTGTAAAGTTTTAATCCTCTGCAGGAATAGGTAGAAGAGTGAGGTATATTTAAAGACAGTAAAGGACTGTAGTGGATTAACCTTGGCTGGCTCCAAAGTGCTCACCTAATTGCTCACTCATTCCATCTTTCAGCAAGATAGGAGGAGAAAGTAAGTTGTACAAAGCTCATGGATCAAGATAAGCACAGAGAGATTGGTCACTGATTACTGTCATGGGTTAAACAGGTGACTTTGGGAAGATTATTGACAATTAGTAACTGAGTAAAATAACAGAGTAGGAAAATAAAACTACAACCACCTTCTGAACAGCCTCTCTCTTTTCCTGAGTTCAGCTTCACTCCTGATTCTTCTGTGTCTTCCACACCCGCAGAAATGCAGAGAATGGACAATGGGGGTTGTGGTCCATCCACTGCATTTTCTCTGTTGCTCCTGCCTCCTCACTCTCTTCCCTTGCTGCAGTGTGGTAACCCTCACATAGGATACAGTCCTTCATGAACAGCCCCAAAGTGGATCCTTCCTTTGGGATGCAGTTCCTCAAGACTGCTCCACAATGGGCCCAAAGTGGGCTGCAGTTTGTGCCAGACAACCTGCTCCTGTGTGGACTTGTGGGTTCCTTTCCATGGACCACAGATCTGTCCGTGATCCTGCTCCTGTAGGGGTTCTTAATGGGGTGTAGCTTCTTTCAGGCTTTATCTTCATGCACGGGCTTCTTCCTGGGCTGCACATGGAGATCTGCTCTGCTGAGGTACTCCTGGGCTGCAGGGGGAATCTCTTCTCCAGTGTGTTGAGCACTCCTTCGATTTTTCTATCTGCAGAGTTGTTTCTCTCACGTTTTCTCACTACACACTCTAATAGCTGCTGCACAACATTTCACCTTTGTTTTCTTTTTTTTTTCTTTCAACCTTTTCTTAAATACGTTATCACAGAAGTGTGCCACCAAGCTCTCTGACCAGCTCAGCTTTGGTCAGCAGTGGGTCCCCTCTGAAGCTGGCTGGAACTGGCAGTTCCCACCATAGAGCAGCTCCTGGTCTCTTCTCACAAAAGGCATTCCAGCAGCACCTACCCACCTCCCACTCCCGCCCCCCACGCTATACCTTGCCATATAAACCCAGTGCAAGCAGAGAGATTATCTTCCTCATTTTCCTGCTTCCTCTGAACCAGTGCATTATTTTAAACAGTATTAAGAATTGGCTATCTCTGATCTTGTTTATGGAGATCATCTCCAAATAGTCTTACATCTAGGAGAAAAAAAAAATGGATACTTAAAGGTTTAACGACTTAAAGTAGACATGGAAGTCTTGGAAGATAAGAGAAATATAAGGTTCACCATCCACACCTTGGGAGTCCGTGTTTTCCTGTCGTAAGCAGTCTGTTTCAGTCTATCATCCATCATGAATATTTGCCACTATTTTTTCAGGAGATGCAATTGATTTTAAAGTACTGCATTATTTCCATTTAAACCTATGTCTTTGAGGTACAGTGAGGAAAGAGAAAGCACCAGCTGCAAATTCAGTTAAACACAACCTGAAGGAAGGATTCTTTCCCTATTTCTGAAACTGATTATCTGATCAGATTCAGAGCACCATGATGTAGTTCAAATTCTATCATTTTATGTCAAGTAACAAAAATAAATTAATTTAGGAGACGAGCTATTTCTGTTCTGTGTTTTTTAACATGAAGCTAGCTTTTCTGCTTTGTTCTCCATTTCAGTTTGGCTGGTGTCTAATAACAAAACAGTCCTCCAACCCACACCAATCTAAACCATCTTCCTTCCTTATGATCTTGCCTTGGATTTTGAAAGACACTGGATTCTCATACCAGCTAAGCTCAGGCAGGAAGCATGGATGGAAATAATTGTTTTGAAGTCAGTGAGGCTGTAAATGCCTTATTTATTTGAGGCTAACAGACACAGGATTGCAAGTACAATTACTGTGTGTCTATGCATAGTGTTTTTAATTTCCTATAAAAAAGCAATTAAAAAAACAAGTAGGCTCAGGTAACTAGGAGTCAAAGAGGAAGAAAGACATTTGAAACTTAAGAGTGAAAGAATGATCACTGTCATTTTGTCATGTTTTTGAAATAGTAATGTTTAGGTTTATTTTACATTCATTATGTAGTTACTTTCTGTGTTTGAGTTCATAGAAGGGCAGACACATATTGTGTTAGTCAGTGTCATGCTCCCTTGCTTGATTATGAATGTTAGGCTGTGTGTGAAAAATGAAATTTAGAATTTTATAGTAGCTCAAGGTTGAGTTAAACCCAAGAGTTTCAGACAGTCATTGAAGACTTGTTTGGTAATTTTTAAACTATGAATATCTGAAATAGCAGCTAGTATATTGATTTTTAAAGAATGTTTTGACTTGAATTACTGTGCTTTTCAATTTGTTTCCTTCTGTGTCTTTCCCTGCTTCCTGTTGCTTCCTTACTCAGAAGGTATGTCTGTCCGAAAGATAATATTTTTATTTGTTCTTAGTATTAAACATGATTTTAACATTTAGAGATCTGTTGCATTGTTCTAAAAAAAAAAACTTACTAGAATATTTTATCTAAACGTCCACTACAATTTAAATGTTCAATTTTTATATATTACATATGCTTAAATCTTGATTAAATAAAAGTGCCTTCAAACAAAGCACTGTTATGCTTTCAGGTTTGTCAGCATCCCAACTCCAGAATGAGAGAATGGGGAGCAGAAGCTTTAACCTCTCTTATTAAAGCAGGACTGACATTCAGCCACGATCCTCCATTATCACAGAATCAGGTAAAGTAAGTTTATGAAAAACTGCTTTCCTCCTTTTCTAGGACTTATTATGAACATGAAATCAGAATCTTCCCTAGAGGAAGTTTTCTACAGTTCATTGAATAGGAGGCATTCATAAAGCAATTTTACCATTGAGTTTATAAAGCCTACAGCTGTAACATTCAGTTGTAACTACTGAAAATCACCTTGTGCATTCTAATGAGCTACCCTCTCCTTTTTCAAATGCATGATGAAGAGTACTGAGGCTTGAATATTATGTGAGTTTGTTAGAACAAATTGTGGATCACCTTCATGAGTGCAAAATAATTCCAGAATGCTTTATATGTTCCAGTATGTAAATATGTGATGTAGTGGCATGTAAGAAATAAATGGCCTTACCTTCTGAATCACAACTATTCAATCAATTGTTAGTAAAATATTCTAATATTTTTACTGGGGTTCAGTGAATAGTATTTTTAAGATCTGTTGGATGAGCATAAAGTTGCACGATAGCTTTTATGCAACCGTGCCAGCATGCTGTAGTAGGGATATGCTGTAGGAACCTGGAGAAATGTCAGGAGAAAAAAAGAAAAGAAAATGCGGATTTCCTGCTGTGAGATACTTTATAAAAAGGTTTTTTTGGAAGGGCCTGTCTGACACTGAATTCCAGCAATTTGGATCGCTCTAAAAACTTCTTAGGAATTGGTACTGTATGGTTCACTTACCATATGTAAAAATAATTATGAATCAGAGCATATTAAGGACGCTAACATTTACTGTTTACTTTTAGAGACTGCAGCTACTTCTACTGAATCCACTTAAGGAGCTGTCAAACATCAGTCATCCTGATATCAGGATCAAGCAGTTGGAGTGTGTGCTACAGATTTTACAGAGTCAGGGTGACAGCTTAGGACCTGGTTGGCCGTTAGTCCTTGGAGTCATGGGAGCAATAAGAAGTGATCAGGGGTAAGTGATAAAAATAAAATATTTAGATCATGTAAAGTGACAGTAGCAGAAAGAGTTCTACTTATATTTTCCTACTTAATAACCATTTTGATAGTAGCATAACTTGTGCTATTTTTATCCTATGAGCAATTTTACTCAGCAGACGCACAGTTTCGGTAATTTTGGTAATTTTTCCTTTAGAACACTTTTATTTTACTGTCACGCTGTTTCCACTTGCATGAAGGACTTTGAAACCTTTTTCCAAACATGAGATAATGCAATGGCCTTGCATTTGAGTACAGAAGAAGAGATTACTTACCCATCAATGCAGCTCTTCAAAATGAGCTGTATAACCATGCTTTCATTTCCTGCTTCCTTTCCTTTTCCTCTAGAGTCCTTGAAGAGTGCATGCTTCTGGAATTTTGTGGTAGAGGGAGGTGCTCCAGTTTTGTGTGTGTTTCAATTTCTAGAACTGTGTAATTAACACGGAGCAAAGTAGTGTATGAACAGTTCTTCCATAAGTATAGCAAGAATGAATACTTACATGGTAGGATAGATACCCGTTTGTAGGATGCATCTTATCACGTGGAGGTAATAGTTATAATGTTACTGTCCACACACAAGTTTGTGTGCATTTCTGTGGCTTCCATCTTATGTTGGCTGTTACAATACAATAGAAGTGGCCCACCTATGATATTCATTTTCAATTAATTAGGGAAAAAGATGGTGTTTTTAACTGAGATTCTGAAACAAGTAGGTAGCATATCTATGTTCTGTTTGGTTGGTTGTTTTTTTTTCCCCCTGGAATATGTATTCTGAAGGACATTCAATTTTTGTGCTACAAACATTTGGCTTTTTCTTTCCTGTGTTAAATATTAAGCATTTTAAAAGCCCAGTAGCTAAATTTAAATGCAGCTGTAGTAGTCTTGCATTATCTACACTGCAGTGCTCTTTTTTTGATTCCTTCATTTTGTCTCTCACACAACAAGATTTTGTTTCTGGATAACATTCCTGCTCACAGGTCTCCTCACAAATGTTTTCCATATTACATTTGTATTTTATCTGTTTGTATTCATAATTTAATTCTGAAGGCTAAATATTTATTAAATATGTATTTAACAGCAGATATTTTCAAAAGATTTTGTCTAATATAATATATAGTACTGAAACGTGTACAACTACCATTATGCACATTTTTCTTACTAAATAAAATACATTTAATCTGTCCTGCTTATTTTAAGTTGAGGCTTCAACTTAATGTTGCATTTCAAAAAATGTCTATTTAAAACATTTAAAATCAAATGCCATCCATTTCAAATGTCAATCCATTTCAAAGATTTATAAATATCAATATGTGTATTTAAATAATACTATCTCCCGATGTATTTTGTTCAGAAAGTTTCTTTGCTCTTGAGGAAATCTGAAATTAGAGTGTGAGTGTGTTTTGTTTTTATTTTGTGTTGTTTTTTGTTTGTTTTTTTTTTAAGAGAGTCCTTAATACGGACTGCATTCCAGTGTCTTCAGTTGGTTGTGACCGACTTTCTTCCAACAATGCCATGCACTTGTCTGCAGATAGTTGTTGAAGTTGCAGGAAGCTTTGGTCTTCACAATCAAGAGCTAAATATTAGCTTAACTTCAATTGGTTTGTTGGTGAGTTTCACATTAACCTACAGAGATGCTGCTTCTGACTTAATTTTTTTAATTAGTGGAAATGATTTGTAGTCCATTCTACAAGTTAAAGCCAAAGCCTGTTTTTTTATTTCTTGCTGGTGTCTCATGCTGTCATTTGGAATCATATGTAAATAGAATAAGCTTTATTTTAAACTTAGTGTAAAACAAGTAGTAGTGGATTGTGAGCTTTTTCACCAGTCTCCAAATGTTAATACATTGTTTCCCTTTCTAGTCTGTAGAATGTAACTGTGGTTTATAAGCTAAGACTCAAGGAAACAACTTTCTGCACTTTGTAGCATTTATGTGCTGAATGAGAAACGTTTTATTTCATGATCATTAAGAATGTTGTAATATTTTATTGTGTAATACAATATTTTGTTTATTTTCTAGTGGAATATTTCAGATTATTTTTTCCAAAGAGGTGAAATAATTGAAAAGGAACTTAACAAAGAAGAAGCAGTGTTGCAGAAGCAGGCAGAAGAAAAGGGGGTGGTTCTGAATAGACCTTTTCATCCCGCACCACCATTTGACTGTCTTTGGTTGTGTTTATATGCTAAACTTGGAGAACTCTGTGTGGATCCCCGACCTGCAGTTAGAAAGAGTGCTGGGCAGACGTTGTTTTCCACCATTGGTGCTCATGGAACTTTGTTACAACATTCAACATGGCACACAGTGATATGGAAGGTATGACACGTGAGCTTCTACTTTAGAATTTCATTCACATTCACATTTGCTTGCTGTTTTTCTTAATATTGCTTAACTAGTTTATTAAGATTCTGTGAAAGATAACAAATGGTGGTAGAAGGCTGACCTCATTTTATTATCATTATTTTTTTGTTTTATTTTCTCTTGCCCTTAAAGCCTTTCATGAAACGCAGTTTTTGTATCTTGATATTTTCTTTCTTATGCAGGCGTTGTATAAAAGTGCCATTCCCTTCCTTAACAGGCAAATGATTGCTCCTGTTTTGCAAAAACATGATGACATTTGGGGGTCACATGATTGAATTGATCTAATATTAGAGTGAGCTTTGTTTTGCCCTCTGTTTGGCTCTTTTTTCTAAAAGGATCAGTCAGATGCCCTAATCCTAAAATGACAGTCATATTGTCTGTGCCTTTAGGAAAAATCGGGGTATTGCGGAGTCTGTTGCCTGCTGTGAGGTATCTGAGATCTCTAGATCCAAATTGGCACAATTCTCAGTGGCTCTGACCATGCTATTTAGACCTTTCTTAAGTAAGCATCAGTAGGCTGATTCTTACTCTTAGCTTTTGCACACACTGTTTTAAATAAGGGAATTCTCAAGGTGATGCAATTACATACATAATAACAGAAAACTTTTTTGTTTGTTTGTTTTACAGTGAATACAACTATGTTGTTTTAAAAGTTGCTTTTTTTTTTTTCTTTTTCTGAATGTTGCAGGTTTTATTCCACCTGCTGGATAGGGTTCGAGAATCTTCTACTACAGCTGACAAAGAGAAGATTGAATCAGGAGGAGGCAACATCCTTATCCATCATTCAAGGGATACAGCTGAGAAACAGTGGGCTGAAACATGGGTATTAACACTGGCTGGAGTTGCAAGAATATTTAATACCCGGAGATATTTACTGCAGCCTTTAGGTAAAAAATAGATTTAAAGTTACTGAAAGGTACAGCTAGGAACTCTCAGTTTGTTCTTCAGTTAGAGCTGAGTAAAAATCTTTGCCCAGAGATGTGTTAGGTTGTGTCTCACCTCACATATGATGAAAATTACAGAGTTTTTAATTCTTTACAGCCAAACATTTTACTTCATTTACAACTTCATCTTCCATGCCATGGTACTTAAGACTGAATTTCAATAATCACAATTCTGAGTGCCAAATAACTTGAACTTGTAGTAGCCTGATAACAATTTTTGTGTTCTTTTGGTTCTCAGAACATACTTTTCCCCTTCTTATTAAAATTGCACAGTGCCTACCTAGAACTTCTTCACAGCTTCCATGTGTCAGGTTTATCAATGCTCTTACAATGTAAAGAGAACTCATAAAATCAGTGAAGCATATGGATTAAAAAAGAAGGGGAATGTTTTAACAAAGAGATGGGACTCAAAAGATGTTGAGAATACCTGCTGTTTCAAGTGATTGTTTTTCTCCACTCACTCTACCTTCTTTCCATTCTTTAACTATTGCCTAGAAAACAGATGTAATTTTGAGTTTACTGTTTTCCTAATTGCACATAACTGAAGTGGGTCCATCTCTTCTTCCTATTTTTTTAAAATCTTCTTTCTCTTTTTTTAAAGTCTTCCTTTTCACTTCTATAGTTCCTTGGTACCTGTTTTCATCTTCTTCATTTTTCTCAAGCTAGGTGCTTCCCTGTTTCTTCTCAATATAGAAATTAAACATTAGATCATTTACCAAGCTATTGTGAAATATTATTACATAGAATTGAACAACATACATGCGTGGATTCAATTTCATCATTCATTCTTTATACTTGTGTGTTTGTCTTTTGCATTCATTTTCTTTGGCTACAGTTGAACTGGCCTATTTTAAAAGGCATTGAAACCATCAGATGACCTTGTGAAATCTCTCTGTGTTACAGAAACAAATACATGAACAGCCTTTCAGAGATTAATGACTGGACAGGTAAATAGCAAACCAATACCAAGCTGATTTTTTTTTTTAATATTCCTCTTTTTTTAACAGGAGACTTCTCCCAGGCCTGGGATGTTCTTCTTGATCACATTCAATCAGCAGCACTCAGCAAAAATAATGAAGTTTCCTTGGCTGCTCTGAAAAGCTTCCAGGAAATCTTACAAATAGTTTCTCCAGCCCGAGACTCAGAGAAGCCTGACACACCACCTGCTATTAATGTTTCTGTACCTGTGGTGGTAGGAGCAACAACTGCCACTAGTCTTGGGAGATCATTCATGAGAACTGACTCCATAGGAGAAAGAATGGGAAGATACAGTGGAGCTGAACTACCTGCAGTAACAGATGAGATTGAAGATCTGAATCTTTGGTGGGCAGCTTGGAACAGCTGGTACAGGATTGGTTCAGAAAGTACAAAGCCTCCAATTACTTGTGATAAATTGACTTTCATTCCCAGCCAGCCTTTTCTTACAGCTTTAATTCAAATATTCCCAGCTCTTTACCAACACATCAAAACTGGTTTCAGCATGGATGATCTCCAAAAGCTGGGTATCATTTTGCATGGTGCAGTTTCAGTTCCAATCAGTTCTGATGCTTCCCCTTTCATCCTTCCATCTTACACTGAAGCAGTTCTGACAAGTTTACAGGAAGCAGTGCTTACAGCTTTAGATGTTTTACAAAAGGTAATAATGGAACTTCAAATGTATAGTGAAAAGGAAACAACACTGTCTCAATTATTCTTGGAGCTTTAGTGTGGTGACTTAAACTTAATTTTTTTACTTACATTTGCACAGTGCACTGTCTTAGAACAGACAAAATTCCATTCCTGTTGCAATTCAGATGTTCTGCATTGGGGGAATGATATTATGGTTATGAAATGCATTTTTGCCAGATTGCAGAAGTACCTTAAGCGTGGTGATGTTTTTATAGTCATTTTCTTGTCTATCTAATATTTAAGTATTGTACTGTTCTGAGAGTCTACCAAGCAGTCTACCAAATAGTATTTCTTCTGTTGCCCTGTAAGTACTGCTATAAACAAAATCTAGGAGAATTATGATCAGGAGATCTTTGAGTTCATGCAGAACATAACATCTGAAAATGTGTCAAGCAGACCACCTTCTGACCTCTTACTAACCTGTTGTTTAAGAATACTGCTGTATCTTTACATAACAAACTCACACTGTCGAACTCATCTTCAAAAAGAATCCCTGATGCGAACAAATTTGTGAATAGCAAATTAGTGTGGTCTTTTACAGGGTAGTAAAACAGCAAAATAGTATGCTGAACTTTTAAAACATTTTCCAGAGATGATTATTAATTCACAAAGCGTATTTATTCAAAAGAAGCAGCATTGATACTGAATGAGATAATGTATTTAGATTAAGTGCTGCTTCAAGAAGAAAAGCCGTGCTGTTTGGGAAATGCCAGAATTAAAACTGTCCGTGTGACCTGACTTCGCTCCCTTTTGGCTTTCGTGTTATGACTACTTAAGTGTGTGAACATACCTGTTTTTAAATCCTCAGACAAGATCCTGTCTCATTCAGCTCATAGAATGCATGGTGCCTACCTAATAAGCAGTGGTTTAGTACTTTGTTTTTAGCTTAGTGTAGATTGGCTTATCTCCTGCTTATTTAATCCCTGCAAGCAAGACAAAATCATTATCTTGCAGTTGTACATTTAGGTTTGGATTTAAAAATATTCCTGGCTGTATGTTAAGAATACAAGTTGGTGGCAAATCTCAGTGTTGTGTAGGAGGAGTAAATAACATGAAGACCAGTTGTATTTGTTGAACTCTCACCCTAGTGATCAGCAGTCAGGCAGGCTTACTCATTGTCCCATTCAGCAGCTCAGACCTGCTGAAGTTGTGTGTTTTCTCACGTCTTTCATTTCTTCATTTCTGTCTTATTTTCCCCATTTAATCATTCCATATATTCCTCCATTTCTCAGATTTTCTTGCTTCTTTGCTGGTCTCCTTTATCCATAAGTTCTTAGCTACAAAATGTTTGCAGAACTTTCCAAAGAAAGACCTTCCAGCATTTTTGACATGAGTTTTTAATAGCAAATCTTTTTTCTAGCCCAGATCCCCAAAGGAAACAAAGACACGTTACATAGCAGCTACAAGCTTTTGAAAATAAGGACTTGAATAGGAAGTCTTAGGCACTCTAATATCATACAGCAAACCCCATCCCATCTATAGTTACATTACTAACAGAACAGCACAACAGTCATTAAAAACTAAGTTAAAATATATTTGGAGGTGGATAAGTTCTGTGAAGTCTCGTGATCTTCTCTCCCAGCTGCATAACGTGGTGGAATGAACATGACAAGGCAGCCTGCCAGTAGTGGAATTAACATGACAAGGCAGTCTGCCAGTGCGGAGGTGCAGCAAAGGCCATCTGTGCAAGAGGTTTGCTGGATGCCATGGTATCTTTTTCCTGTGTTGAAATGAATTAATACTGAGGAGTGCTCTCAGGCTCTCGTGTGGTAGCTAAAGGGGTATATGTAAATATTTGCTACCTTCTTTTAAACAAAATCTCTCCTGAATATGGAATCGGAGTAAGTTTTGTTCTTTGTTAATACAGAAGGATTTAGGTCAGTTACGATTTTGTAAAAATCTCTGGAACAACTTGGCAGTTGGAATAGCATGAAAAAAGTATTTTTTAAAAGCTGAGTCCCTAACTGGTCTAACAGAGATTTTATTATGTGATTGTACTAGCAAAGGGCATTATAATGCATGAAAATAGGAATGGAAGGCAAGCTTAGTTCCTGTTTCAGACTTCCATATGTTGAGTCTATTTTAGACCCATTGTTCCTTTGCTTTTTATTTATTGTTAGAACTTGTTTTCTTGTCATTCATTGCTGTAGTCTAAGTGCCTGCTTCACCACATTAGCTCAGTTAAAAATTGTACTCAAGCCTAAATTCTCTGCTTGCTCTCACTGCCTACCTGTATTCTCTCTGGGTAAGCTCTGTGGTGTGCCAGCTGCCTCATCAAGCAAAAGAACACAGATTCATACTTGGTTATTATCAAATAACTGTGAATGCTGCCTCTGTGGGCAGTATGAATGTAAACCTCTTGAGCTGTGGGTGTGGTGCCTAAGGCTGTGTTTATATTTACAACAAAGTTAGTAGAGACTTAGCCACTGAGAGCTGTAAAAATAACAATTTCTTGACAATAGTTCCACTGGGAGGTGTTTGATAAATTTGAACTATTCAAAAATTTGAAGGTTTGTACTAGGATATTTTAAAGCATAAACTTCTAAAAGTAAAGTACCATATCAATTTTTACAGGAAACAACAATCAGCCAAGTGGTTTGTTTTAGGGCTTGTGTGTGCTTCATTGTTGCCCAGCCATTACTTTTTTATTTATAGCTCTCTTTACTTAAGGATGTAAACAAGTGCACTCAGTGCAGTAAATATGACTCTATTTTATAAGCACCTCTTAAAGATACTTTCAGCATCCTTGGTTCCATGCTTGCTGTGCTGTTTTCGCATTTTTCAATTGCTTAGATAAAAGATATATGCTGTCAGTCAGAAATATAAATTTATTTGAAAATCAGTCCTAGTTAGGTGACTTTTAAAAACAAAATGACAAATGACCTACTACCCTCTTCTTTTTTTTAGTGTCAGGTAATTTTAAGAGCTGAAAAATTCATCAATAGACTGAATAGAAAATGCTTCTATTTGTAAAATAAAATGTTTATAAAAGTTTCATAAAATACAAAGATAAGAACCTACTGATGCACAAACTTTAAATAAGTAATAGTTATTGCTTTTGTTCACCAGTACAAGAAAAAGTGGCATCTTAAGAAGCACTGATCCTAGATCAGCAGTAAGAACAATAATGAAAATCTAGCAAACTAGAAGAAATAGCAAAGTTACTTTGTCATTGTAGATGTAAGTCTTCTGGCAGTAGTGACAATATTGAAGATGTGTACAGGAATTACTTCTGCATGGGACTTATATAGGGATTTCTGGATGTTCTTTTTCTCTTTCTAATCCAAGTAGTGTTATACAAAATAATTTCTTACATATACAATCTTGCATTAACCTATTAAAATTTAGTGCAAGGACTTTGGTGCAGCAGCACGTCAGCTGAAACTGTTCTACAGTATGTGGAGTATGTCAGATCAGCAATTAAACTCATAGTGTTCTGTCACACAGGGGAATATCAAGCATCAAACTATCTTTTTCTGAGGTCAGCATAGTCTTGGATTCAAATACCAGAGAAAGAGTGTAGCTTTTTAGAAGGAGCAGTATTCTACCACATTTATAATGCTGGTTAAGCTTTTGGGGCATTAGGGCATGTGTTTTCTAAGTTGCAGGAAGCCGAGGAAAGGAGAAAAGCCATTTAATGGAGTGCTCTGGTGCAGCTCTGCATGAAGGTGCCCTGGGCCTTAGGGTGATCTGGAGATGGTGATGCCTGCGGGCCGTGTTGGCTTACTCCCTCTCTCAGCTGAGGACTGGAGATATTCACTAGTCCCTTGAATGTCGTAGCTCATGAGGCTGCCCAAGCATGGAGGTTGCAGTCATAGCTTCTGAACTGTTGGTTCCTTGAATTAGTTTGGCCACAACTTGTCGTGAATGGTCTTTAGTTAATGGAAAGAGAATTTGATTCCTTCCCAGAGAAAACTGACAGTACAAGATCAAGGTTTTTTTGTGGAGCAATAAGTAAACTGTTTCTTTGCTGTTTGCTTTGGGAGGAGGGATGTGGGGAGGAAGTCTTAAAATGACAGAAGATAATTGGAATAGCTTCATAGAATTTTTGTATCTGGCTTTGAAAATAGATGCTCTGCCTTTTCCTTGGGATTTATATTGCAACAGGAAATCATTACACTGTGACAACATGATATTTCACTGACATCTTGGAAGGGCACCCTTCCTAAGTGTTTCCAATTTTAACACAAGGCTGTGTGTTTCAGCTATGCCAAAATGATATAATTCTGATTTTATTTATGTTTCTTTCTGTAAGTCATAATTTTAACTACTTACGGAAACTTTGTATGAATTACTTCTGAGATTTAAATGCTCTTTAAAGTAGATCTTTTAAAAGATGTGGCTGGGACCAACAGTCAGGAATTATATGACCCACAAATATGTTATATCAAAGCAAAGTTTGTAAAGAAGAGATACCTTTTGATAGACAAAATCAATTAGCTTTGTTTACTTACATATATGTTGCCAAGTATCCTTACAACTTTAATAAAATTACAGAACCTAATATTCTTAAGCTGTTAGAACTATACTTTGTCTTTTATACAGTGTTACTCTTGTGTAGTTCAGTTCCTGCATGGTACTGTGATAACAATTCTGCATATTTATTAAATAATATTGATTAATTAACTGTTAATTAATATTGGTAGTATTGTTAGAACTTTAGCATTATGGTGCTGTAGCAAAATCATTTGTGAGCTAAAAAACAGTAGTCCTTATAATCAGCCAATATAGCAAAGAGACAGACTTGGGGATTTTTATGTAGGAGCTTGTTGTGCTGAGGCATAATTTTATGTGCTGAAGCACAAGAAAAATATTAAGCTTTTGTTTTTCCTTTTGGTATAGGCTATATGTGTGGGCTCAGAAAATATGCAGATAATGTATCCTGCAATCTTTGATCAGCTGTTGGCCTTTGTAGAATTTTCATGCAAGCCTCCACAGTATGGACAGCTGGAAACAAAGCACATTGCAAATGCAAAGTATAATCAGGTAATTTATTACAAGTCTCACCCGTTTCATTTGGCTGCTAAACACAATTCAGCTTCAGATATTCTTTAGCAGGATGCATTTATTCTATCTGTAAAAACTGTGCTATGCCTGTTGTGTAATAAGTTAATTTATTAGTTTTTACATGCTTTTATCTTCTTTTGCTACCTTGAATTCTGTTTGTTTTTCTTCATGTGTTTTGTATTTCTCCATGTCAAAAAATTATTCTCTGGACACCAGACATAATGAATATGTCTGAATTTGTCCAGTGAATTCATCTAAAATATCTGCTCCTATATTTGACACTAAATTAAATAGAAAAACACCATATTTCTGAACGGAAAAATTCCTTTAAGCTGCAAATTTTTGCACTGCATGTGCTGTAGAGAGGACATACTCAATAGTATATATATATTTTAAATTTGTGTACTCTGCTGTTCACTAAGCATGAGCATCTGATTCAGTGTAATCTAAGAGGTAACTGTTATCTATGTATTAATTCTTCTTATTCTATTTGTCCTGCAACACAATGGAATCACACTAGATACAACTTTTTGCACCGGTGAGTTAAATTTCCTTAAAGATTGTCCTAATGTAGTTGTCTTGCCTAGACTGCAACATTTCTTCAATTTAAATGTACTTTACTTCAATGTAGAGTACATTTTCATAGTCGGACCACGTTGTATTTGCAGTTTTGTTGCTTGGACCATATTCTTACCAAAACTTGCATGCATTAAACTGAGAGTTCAATGCAAAGCATTCGATTTCTGTTCCTTAACTAATACTTTCACACATACAGCTCAGTAATTTACTGTCTTTTTCCTAGGCGGAATGGGTAGCACTGAATTATGTACCATTTGCTGAGAGATCGTTGGAAGTGGTTGTGGACTTGTACCAAAAAACAGCTTGCCATAAAGCTGTTGTAAATGAGAAAGTTCTTCAGAACATTATTAAGGTAAAGGATTATCTAGCTTATGCTCTGAATTAATGGAGTTTTATTTTAGTACACTGTAGATAAACAGGTTTCTGGGAAGCTTAAAGCTTCCGTAAATAATACAATTGATTGTCTATGAAGATTAGCAGCAGGTCATTTCTTGTGGTGCTGCAATCACTATTGCTTAAGGTGTATGCATTACTTTTTAGCTGCATGTTATAATAATCAGTAATTCAGTTAAGACGAAAATCAACAAATGTGTGGGGGCTAAACCCAGAAATCTTTGAAAGCACTATGTGCCAAAGTCCGAAAAGCAGGCCTCTTAGTAAATACAACAGAAGGCTGAAGACAAAACTGGCACACATATTTTTGTGGAGGTGCACTTTAATCATTATTTTGGTCTGTTTTTAATGGCTTTACGTGTCATTGATACTGCTATAAAATGTTATGGGTGCACAGATGCGCCTTCAAGGTGAAAGTGCCAAACTCGTAATTGTTTGACCTTGTTTTTAGCAAATAAGTTTGGCAAATAATGGAAGTAGTAGTAAATGTCTTGTGAATAATATATCAGACCTAAGCGTGCTTGTAATGACCCAGTTGTATGCAGATTGTTCCTATACAGAAATTTAGAAACACTAACGTATTTAAAATAGTTACATGGTATTATTTGGAATTTGTTGTGAACTAAATGTTTATATCTCAAAATTATTACAATTGATTTCCACTTCTGATGTAAACGGATAGGTGAAACTAGTGTAAAATGCTGCTTTTTTGACGGTTCACAATAATGTGCTGTGCTTCAGTAAGTGAAAGCACTTCATTTGTCTGAAGCCCATGTTTTATATTAGAATTAGACTTCACTTCCATGAGCAAAAGCATCAGAAGAAAATATTTTTTTTTATCTCCAGGGTTAGATCCTAGCTCTGATTACAAACTCACTGCCAAAATTTATTACAATTAACCCTCTCTTAAGAGTGAGTTCTCCCTTTGTTTTCCTTAAATCAGAAACTTTACTGAAGGTATCACATACGTAATACCCAAATTTAGGTAATACGTATTTGAAATATAAATTAAAGAATTAGTTATCCAAGATAACTTGGTATCACCTCCTAGTTAGTTCACTGTCAGTTGACCAACAATGCTAGAAGTGGTAAATAAAGTGCATGTAGTACATAAACTTAGTTTAAACATGTTAATGAGTTTCTTTTATAGCTACTGAATCTCTTTCTACCCAAATTTGCAGTGTTTTTGTCTGCTGTACATTTGAGTTGTGTAGCAGCCTTTTTCTTTAGAATTTCAGTAGTTCTTTTTGCTTTTAAACTTCCTGTGGTTTAACAGTCAACAGTCACCAGATATCTTGCAGTGGTCACATGCAAAGATCAACTTCTATGTTTTGGGAAAAGTTTAAATTCAGTATGGCTTTTTTTCTCTCTTTTTAAAACTTTGGAAGCCCTTGTGAGAACTTCCTAGATATAGAACTAAACTTCAGAACTAAACTTATATGATCTGTTGGATGTTGGGTAGGCCTATTTGCCAGGATTCCCAGAAAGCTGGATGGTAATAAAGAGAATTAGTGAGTAGATTCATGGTGTAATTGGTAATTGGATCAGATCTGGTTTCTGACTTTGTGTGTTAACAGACCTGTGCTTTAGTCAGCTGATATAGGGTAAATAGTCTTCATATTTTAGAAAGAAAATGTAGAGATGTGTACTGTCATCTATTTAAATGTCTGCTGAGATCTGCAGAAATCAGTCTTACTCTTAGATTTCTCTGAGCAACTGTACATTTAGTTTGATCTTTCATTTTGCAGACGCTGAGAATACCTCTTAGTCTGAAGTACTCCTGTCCTTCTGAAAGCACATGGAAGCTCGCTGTTTCCTCTCTTCTCAAAGTGCTTTCTATTGGACTACCAGTTGCAAGGCAGCATGCATCTTCTGGAAAATTTGACAGCATGTGGCCAGAGTTAGCCAATACATTTGAAGACTTTTTATTCACTAAAAGGTAAACACAATTTCCTTTTTTTTTTTTTTTAAACTCAAAAATATTTATAAGTAATTTATTCACTAATGTAGTCGTTTGTACCAATAGAGTTCAATAAAAACAGCCTTATTCTTAGTTATTTGATATCTGAAGATGACTCTAATGAATGAAGGAAAAGAGGTAACCAATTCATCTAGTTTTAAAAAGTATACTTCCAGTAAGTAGTAGACAAAAGTTCATTGAATAAGTGAAATGTCAAAGCAAGAAAAAGCTCAGCTGATCTCTGAATGCAAGACATAGCCTTTCTGATGAGGTCAAGAAATTCTATATGGACTCCCAAGGATTGGGTTCTGATAAAGAGTTACTGATATATACTCAGTTAGATCAGAACTGCAGCATTGTTTTTTTTCCACTTAGGATGAAAAGAACTAGCTATATTGATAGTACTTTGTGAAAAGTTTAGCAGACAGACTGACAGATGTATATGCTTAATCTTTTAAGAGTGACACTGTAGCCGTGGGCGTGTTGAGAAAAATCAGAAAAGGAAAATGATAATGGTCAGAAATTAGACCTATAAGCTTGTTGAACAAGAAGGAACATATCATTGGGAAGTCTCCAGAAAACGGTCAAAGAATTGTTTTTGCCCCTTTACAGTGGGTAAAAATGCATTTCAGTGTAGCAACGGTTATCAAAGGTTACAAACAGCAAGGAAACCTTTTACCGTAAGGTTAGGTATTGTAGAGTACTGCATAGAAGGGGTAAGGAATTTTCATCTTTTGTGAGCATTTGTGGATAAACAGCTTTCAGCAGTAGCTGAGAATATCTAATTGTGTCACAGATTAAAGGGCAATGTGGAATATGAAAAAATTAATTCCCTGATTTTTTTATGTTGATTTCAGTCATAAATTAATCTTTCTTTTTAATAGAAAACAGCAGGGTTCTTCTGTACCTAATACTAATATTCAGTGTATATTTGTGTGTGCGTACTTTGCAAACATACAGGAGTCAGCAACCAAACACAGCTGTATTTACTAGTGATGAATAAATAGCAGCTTGCCCAAAACAGACGAAAATGAGATACCAATGAAACTTAATGTTAGAGGAATATCTGTTAGTAAAAATGTTTATAATGAGTGACTTTGGAATTCCACCAGTAGGATTATAATGTAATTGTATGAAAATCTTTTCTTTCATCTTTGAATATACTTGAAAGAAATGATAGTAGATAGAAAGACCAGAAAATCAAAAAAGGCTATCAGGAGTGCAGCAAAGACACTTAAGTTGTCAGTTTTTGTTTTGTTGCTTCACTGTTTCTTAAATTTATAATAATCTTTGCAGTATCTTCTTTTGTTTTGTTTTTGGCTACAGTTAGTATTCCAGATTCCATTCCAACAGTCCAAGTCAGCTATAATCAATACCATTGTGAGGTTTAGAAAATTATAATGAAGATTTTTCAGGTTACTGTGGGATAATGTATCTTCACTTGTGTGTATTCCTGAAGAAACTTCTTACTACTTGCTGTAAATTAATTATTCCTAAATATCTGTGGAAAAGATGAAATACATTAATTTTGCATGTTTTTAACTGATCCAGATTGGCCACGGTTCAGTTTTGGCTATGAACCATTCGCAAGTCCAGGGAAGTAAGACTGTCAGAGCTCTGCAGTGTAGATCTCTGTATACATCTCAAATGTGTAATTTCTTTTTCTTAACAACGACTGATTTATACTTTTCTTGAAAGTTGTTCTAACTGTAGAAATTCCATATTAACATGTTGCTTGCTAAAAACAGTAACTGTTGGAGTTAATTAATAGCTTTTGCCAGCTGTCATGCCTGGGAGAATATTCTCTGGAGGTAAAGGAGGCATTACTTCTGTGTATATTTATGATACCCAAAAATTTTCTGTCTTTTCTTAACTTTGACTTTCGCTCTTAAGAGACCAGAGTGTATTCTGTGCATTTATATACAAGCTACATATATAAAGGGATATAAGGGACCAGCATTTTAATCAGAATTGAAGCTTTTCTCAGATGTTGCATGAAACTTTTTGGTTCTCTCGCTTAGAAGCTTTAAAGTTCAAAAGAAGCTGGTGGTTCATGGAACCATGTGGATAACAGCAGGATAATTTCCTAGTTATCTGGTCTTCTGCTGTTAAAGGCCAGTATCATTACTCTTTCCAGGATTTTTATCACTAGATGTTTTATGTTTGTTTCTTCTCCCAGACTTCAGTCAAAACTGTAAATATCTTCCTTCTGAGCATGCCCTTCAGAACCTTGTTCTTCAGAGCTCACCACTTCCGAGGTGGTTCCAAATAAGAAATGTCTGCATCTCTGTAAACCTTGAAAATCCCTTACTGTCATCACAGAATCATAGAATCACAGAATAGCTTGAGTTGGAAGGGACTTTAAAGCCCAGCCTGTTCCCATCCCCTACCATGGATAGGGCTGCTACCCACCAGCTCAGGTGGCCCCATCCAACCTGGCCTTGAACACGTGCAGGGGTGGGGCACCAAAAGCTTCTCTGGGCAGACTGTGCCAGGGCCTCACTGTCCTCTAAGTGAGAACAAAGAGTCAGTTCTGTTAGTAATACCGTGTAGCTGATTTGGCTGATTTTTCCTTCTACCTTTGTTCATTTTTATGTGTATATCATCCAAGCCCCTACTGGGCTGAGGAACCAGAAATCTTCCTAGAGTAGACATAAGAAGTTGTTTCAATTTCACTGGTGTTCTGAATTTCTAACAAACATTTTAAACATTTTTTTTCTGACCTCATAATTCTTCCAGTCACTGTGGTCCTAGCAATTACATCTGTAGAACTCCTAATATTATTTCTACCAGTGAAATTGAGTTGGTGTTGGTGGTGTGGTGTGGTAATAACCCTTTAAAAAAAAAAGATCTCTGAACCTCTGTGTTTAAAACAGTGAGCATCCTCTGCATGCTCTTTCAAGCAGGAATAGGTTTGCAAACTAGCTGTGGAGCTGAATGACATGAGATACACACTGATGCTTGAAATGTACAAAGACAGCAGAAAGGGCCTTTGGAGCTTTGCACAAGAGATTTCAAATACAGCCAGAAAAGCCCAGGTAAATGGAAAAGGAAAATGTTATTGCTACAGAGAATTAACAGCTTTCAAACAAAAAGCTTCAGCTTTTTTGTTTTTAGTTTAGGTTTTGTTGTTATTATTCTTGTTTCTTTAAGCAAGCTGCAGCTGAGAAGGCTTGATAATCTTGATTTTTATTATAAATCAAAACGACATTTAAAAATACATTTCACATAACTCAATTTATACAAAATTGTCTTCTAGTAAGAGGCTGGTCTGTTTATTATTTAATATCATACTTCTTTCCCAGAGGCTTTCACGGAAGCATGTCAAGCCATTATATAAAATAAAATTCAACAAACATGCGTATATATAATTTACTAGAGCAGAAGTCTGTGCTTACATGAGGGAATTAAATCAATACTTTCCAAAAAGATGCTTCAGAGCAGAGTGCTGCTGTGCACAGCAGGACTCTCTGTGGCTGTTAGCTCTTTGTTGTTAGGTTTTAAAGACCTCCCTAGACACTGGGCAGCAGCTGGGAGCTCTTTACCTGGAAAATCCTGCACAGAGCTACAGTGTGCATTACACTCCCTCTTATCTGCACTGGCTCATGACCCTTCCCGTACAGTTTGGCTGTACTGAATCAAACAAGCAAAGCCTTTGCCTATAGATGTTTTGTTTGGGCATCTTACAGAAATCTATTTACCTGGGAGTTATTTGCTGCATGAACAAGAATATAGCATCATCTGTGACCTACATGGTAGGTCAGATATAGATGACTGAGCAGAAGGGTCATAAAACCTCTTTAAAGTAAACCTCAGCTCAGAAAGTCAGTCATTCATAAACAAGGAAGTGTCAGAATGAAAACTTTCCACGTAATTCAACGTGACCTGCATATGAATGCATTGTAATTGTTCATATTTCTATTTAAAGGGTTTCTATATAAAGGGTTTGCATCCTTATCTATTTTATGTTAGAGAATGTATAGAATGAACAGCTACTTAATATTTTATTCTTTGCTTCGACACGTAACACCGAATTTGCTGACAGCCTAGCACATGAACCAATAAAAAATACAATATAATCTCTTTGAGACAGGGCAGTATCTTTATTTTCAAACAGGAACATGCTGTCACAGTTGTCAAAACTGAAAATTAGCAGTGAATGTGCAGATTCAGATCCAGGTGTCTCATGCTAAGTACCCAAAAGAGAGGAAAAAGAAGAACCCTGCCTAGTAAAAATCTATTTGACTCAGTCAGCATCATACAGGAACAGTGGGAAGAAAAAAAGCTGTTAGCTGAACAAACCACATTTGAATGAGATTTAGAAGGCTCCAACCATTCCTGAAAATCAAAGTGGGATGGAGGAGAAAGGCCTGGATGAGTACCCCTATGTGGAAAAGGCTGGCACAGATCCATGGTCATATATCTGGCAGCTGCCTTTCTAGTGAGCACATGCCTGGCTCAGAACTACTCACCGCATGCGTCTGCTGTTTCTTGGGGAGACATGGGGGTGGAGAAAAAACTGGGAGTTTTGAGGAGAGAGTTTGGAAATGAGCCAAAGGATGCTGGTCTGCTTGCTGCTGCCGTACTTCACCAATTCCTCAGCTTACAGAACAGCTTGGCTCTTTGTTCAGCCCAGGGCACTGTTCTCCTTACATCTGCCCATGCTGCAGTAAATCAGGCGGGGACTGTGGCAGATTGGCCATATCATTTTCCTGCCTTTTCAGTAGTGACTGTCCTGTGTACTTCTCCAGAGCAAATAAGGCACCATCTAATATGGTAAGATACAAACATACACAACAACAGCAAGTTGAAGCACCAGACGCCATCTTAATTCAAATGTTTCAAACCGTGCCTTTCACATGGTCACACTTCCCAGCTGTTCCTCAATTTGAAGATCTTAAAGTATTATTTAAAAAGACAAAACGTAAAATTATGGGGAAAGGAGAGGACTTAACAAAATGGAAGTATATAAACTTTTTACAGTTCTTTACCTCTGATTTTTGTTGTTAATGCAGCGATCTCTTCTATAATAAATTTACCTTCCATGCAGATCAGACGTTACAGAAACACTAAATGTACAACCCCGTGAGTTTTGTAGTAGTTTTTTAAATTTCAAAGGATCGTGGGCATGAGGGTTTTAATTTCTTCTTATGTCAGAAAAACAAGAACGGAATAACTGGGTCAGAATAGATACCTAGACTTCTGTGTGCTGTTTCTGATAGATTAGTAGGGTATTTAATGAAGAGTGCAACGTAACCACATACCATGAACATGTACATAACATGTAACAAGTACATACATAACATGTAAGACATGTTACATTTTCACAGTATGCTTTATGTCTTACTGAAGAACTAGCCTCAGTAACTCAGCAAGCCATAGCATAATCCAGCAAAGAAAAGGGAATTTGAGTCTACTTAGCAGGTATTCCAGTAAGGAAGAAGAATGACTCATTAAATGAGAGAACTTCACCAGAAAAAAACTTAGTGAATGATAGCTAGCGTAAAATTTCCTGTCAAATGATACAAGATTTCCAAAGTTGCAAGCAGGCAAGGTAAGATTTTATAAAGCATGGAGTGACATTCATGGTTGAACCACTTCTGGGCATTTTATCTTTAAGCAGATTTTTGTATACAATGGAAGAATTACGGAGTTCTGAAATTCTTCAAAATTGTTGTTTATAAAATGAATTTCTCTCTTCCTAGAATTCTTTAATAAGGAGAACAAGTATCGGTTATCAACAAAAGAGTAATGTCCCATTAATGAGAAGTGTGTTTCATTAACACAAAAGAAAATACAAAATTAAATTGCTAAATAAATGGTTGCTAAAAATTTTTTAAAATCTCAAAGAAAATTATGCATAGTGAGAAAAAGGAAAAACAAAATAAAAAAAAAACCTCTGATGCCTAAATGAGACCTTCACAGATGCATGTGAGCAAGTATTGTGAGTTCTGCACAATTTAGGACGGAAGAGATTATTTTGATACGCATGTGAAAAACAGTGCTGCAAGTCCTCAGTTGCCATAACTCTTCATTTTTGTATTTTACTGCAGTTTTCCTTTGAACCACTTTTATCATCATTATTCAAAGATTTTATTCTAAAATGTTAATAGTTTTTATGTAATGGTACCAACTTGATGCATGTGAAACTTTAATGCATTTTCTCATACTTAGCTCCTTACACATTTTGTGAATTTAGAAGTATAATGTATTTTCTTTATTTTTAGTGCACCTCCTGATAATCTCTCAATTCAAGAATTTCAGAAGAATGAGAGTATTGATGTTGAGGTAAGAGGACTATAGAAAATGTGTAATATTGTCAAACACATAAGGTAGTGGCATTCACAGGTTGCATTTAGTTTTCAAATAATTTTTGGCAAAGTTGCCCATTATTATTTTTCTGAGATGTTTTTTTCCATTTGAAAAGGAGACAAATTCAGAGGCTCAAAATTTGACTGCTTCCAGGTTTTGCAAAGGTGCAAAGGAAGCTGCATGCCAAAAACTTGTCCACTTGAGTTCAAACGAGCAGAAAAAACAGAACGTCTTTCTGCTTCTAATCCATTATCTGATTCTTACTTACTATGATATTGCCAAGCAATTACATAGGTAATTGTAAACCCAAGGAGGCTGATGACTGAACCTAAGGGAATGTTCTCTTTGTTGAGAGGTGGCATTCATTGTTGCAATCTAGGTGTGTTCTCAATACTGAATAAAAACGTGCATAAATGGTGAAATGATGATTTGTGTGGTGCAGAGACCTGACTGGTCTCATCATCTCTAGCTAGGACATGAAGATTTCAGGGCAAAAAAAGCAAGAGCAGTTCTATCTGCAGAAGTATGAGATCCAATACATTAGTTTACGGAGATCTACACACACTTTATTCCTGAGTGAATGCACCAAGACCAAGGACAGAAAAAACATTTCAGTTTGTGTGTTGCTGTCAGCTTATTTAGTTAGCTGACATGTTCTGTTTTGCTGATGTCACTTTGTAAGCATGTGATATACGTGTTGATGTGATAGTAAGAATATTGAATGGAGTGGAAGGGGAGGGAGATTCCTATTGTCAAATATTCTCTTTTCAAAACTGTAAATTTGACTGGAAGAATATGCATCAAATGTCAGTGGAAATCTGAGTGAAAACTGCTTCAGAAACTAAGAAATGAGAGGAAAAATAAGTTTGGTAGTTCAAGTTTAATCTCTTAAACACGGTTCCAAAATTTTTAGATGTATCTGCAAATTCTTAAAGCAGCATTGGAAGATTTTGTAAATTTCCATTAGGCATGTCTCTTTGTTTAATGTTCCTTTTGTCTTCTACCAGAATTGCAGTGTTACTCTTCAGAAAACCAATATAAACTTATTTAATTTATTTTAGGTGGTGCAGCTTATTAGTACGGAGATACTGCCATATGCTAATTTTATTCCTAAGGAATTTGTTGGTCAAATAATGACTATGCTCAATAAAGGCTCAATACACTCTCAGTCATCTTCATTTACAGGTATAGTAGCTGAATGACAAAAGGTACAGAAAAATAGGTTTATATCTGCTAGACAGTAACAAAAATGTTGACAGTACTTATTCTGATAAAGACCTGAAATTCCATGATATATATTCACTTTAAACTGTATTGTCTTGTGGAAGTTTCACTTTTGTTTTTTTTAACTACTATTTTCTTGTTTTTTCGTCAGTGTCATGTATAATGTATTGTATTTGTGTTTCTACAGATTTTTTTTCTGAACTTTCTAATAGTTTATTTTCCTTTATGTCAGTTGCAATACTTGACAGTGATTTCAGACAGTTGTAAGGCATGCATGATATCCAGTACTTAAAAATTAAATGACCTTAGCATAACTGTATGTTGTGGCTAACCAGACATTAACACAGAAGCATTTCTCTGTACAGTAGCAAATGTTAGTACTGGTGGTGTAGGACTGGGGATGTTCCTGTCACTTTTTTTCTTTTGTTTTTGTTATGTCATTTGATGTTAAATGCTGTTAAATGATGTTAAATTTGATGCTTTGTTATTAAAGCAGCATTAAGTTGGTGACACGTTAGTGAATGTGCTGAATATTCTTTTATATTTTTGACCTGTTGTGAATATCACACAGTCATCCCTTCCTTAGAACGTGTTCTTAATATTTGTCCATATCACTGTTAATGTTTTTTTAATATTACAGGACTGATAACCTTTTTGCAAAATATAATTAACCGATTGAAATGCAACATCTGACATTCTGGCATGCACAGTGCTCAATTAATTATGATGTTTTACTTTGACAGAGGCGGAAATAGATATTCGATTGAGAGAGGAGTTTTCTAAGGTGTGTTTTGAAACACTGCTCCAGTTTTCATTCAGTAATAAAGTCACAACTCCTCAGGAAGGCTACATCTCTAGAATGGCACTTTCTGTGCTCTTGAAAAGGTCACAGGATGTATTACATCGCTACATAGAAGACGAGAGGTTGAGTGGCAAATGTCCTCTTCCACGGTATGTGCAGTGCCCTTAGGAAATAAAGGGTATTACCAGTACCTTTTGAGAAGGCTGTATTCAGAATACGTCTGTTGTGTGTTAGAAGTGTTTGTGTGTATGGGTGTGTGTAAGGGATGTATGCAATTTAAAGCTTGAGAAGTATACGAAAAATGTTTCAAATAAAAAATTATACCAAATTTCTATTGAACAGAAAAAACTTAAAAAAAAAAATAGTGGTCACACTCAGTGCTGTTACGCTGAAAAGAGGAGTGTAATTCAGTAATCAATATTATCAGTTGTTGAAAGAATGTTTCTGGTATCTCTAACATAATATTTCCGAAATCTAATTTCCCTTTATTCCTAGCAGAGCTAGTTTCTAAACTGAGAGGTAGAGAGTCTTCTTGACAATAAGACAAAATATATAAACAGCAATATTGTGAATCATTACTCAGGTAATTGTTCTTGAAACTGAAAATTGCCCTGAGAACAAGGAAATTCTTTCACAAATGGGGACTTACTTAGATTTCAGTTAACCTCAGCTGAAATGTTTTTGGAGATTTTGATTGTGACTGATGAAACTGATTCTTTCCATTTTACAGCTAATCACGTGCATGAATATTTTCAGATTGAGACACATGCTCTATCACTGTCTCTAATATCAAATTGAAAGCCATCCTAGCTGGCAGTAGCTATAATGGTGGAAAAGTTAAAGACAAATAATAACCTTGGTCTCTTAATGTCCTTTTTTTGGGTAGGCAGCTGTTTCCATTACATTTTTTTTTTTAATGTTATGTAAGTTTCACAGAAAATTTATAATCTTGAGACAAAAATGGGTTGCTGACTATTTGCATCTTCCTTTTGTAGGCAACAAGTAACAGAAATCATATTTGTTTTAAAAGCTGTCAGTACTCTCATAGACTCACTTAAAAAAACTCAGCCTGAAAATGGTAAGTTATTGTTAAATAACGTATTTCTAAATGAGGTAAAACTTCATCTGCCACAAAGATGTATTTATTCTTTCCTGTAGTACTTTTCACACAAAGAGTATAGTCTGTAAGATTCTGTGAATATATAGGTGGCATGTAGAAAAGAACATTTTCCAGTATACATAACAATATAAGGTTCTAAGATATATTTAAAAATAGAAAACTTCATTTTCTGATGTCTTGTGTTAGATAGATCTTGGTATCTTTTAAAAACAAAACTTCCATAAAGTGTTAACAGAATTCTTAAATAGAAGCATATGTATAGCTGTTAGTTTTACTGTATCTTCTTTCTTTTCATTATAGCTTTTTTAGGTTGCTGTGGATCTGGTTCACACAGGTGCACTCCCCAGTAAAACGGGTGTGCAAATAAAGTCGATGAGCAAGCTGTTAAACACTTAAATGTGAAATCTTGTTTCCCCTCACTTTCTGCTATAGTACCTCCTGTCCCCATAATAAGAAACAAATGAGAAACATTTCTTTGCTCATTGATACTAAGTGGTGATATGAATGACAGATGTATTTAAAGGACTGATTGAAACTGGTGGCCATGACTTCATTTATGTGAACACGTACTGTTCCTCCTGCAATCTGCACCTTTTGTATGCAGAGGGTTCCCACCAAAAATCTTGGGAGATACTGTGTTAACTTGTGCTAAGTAGATGTGTCTAAGAATGTGTTTGTCTCTACTGATGGGTTGTTTCCCTTCTGTAGTTCCAGATATTCAAGCTCATTATTATGCATACTATTAGTATCATCATACTGCTTAATACCTTGTTAAACTAGCTGCATTGTGCTCTGCAACTCTGACAGATCTGCATATATATCACTTCTCTCTACCTTCCCTGCTTCTGATATTAAGAGAAAGGGAAAAAATTTGTAAATCCTGAAACAAAGCAGACTTCCCAGAAGAACATAGATAGGTGGGTTTTCTGAAAGGTGGGATGTTTTGCAGCATCAATGAGCAGGGAGGTGTTGTTTCCTAGGTTGACAGTAAAAGGCTGAGGACAGAACTGTGCAAGAGTACACAAAGCCTTCTAGCATACCTGAAGCAGCTAAAGCATTACTTTGCTGGGGCTTTCATTTAAAGGGGTAGAGTGGCCAGCTCAGCTGCACTGTTGCCCGTAACTTTCTTACTAAAATGAGCCATCAGTGTGTGGCAGTGACTTCCAAAACTGCTGCATACTTTCTTATGAAGAGGGCTACCAGACACGTTAGAGAACCACTTTGCTCCTACTTCTCCTACTTTTGAATCATTTTATTTTTGTAATAAATTATTAACGTTTGAAATCAAGGTTTTGTGCTCTCTTGAAATCAAAGTTAAAGCAGATAAACAAGGAATTGATATAATAAATAAGATTCATACACTGTGTTTATTTTCACTGTACTAACAAATATTACCATGGATATTGTTTATGCCCTGGTCCAGAGTTTCTCCTGCTTTTTCTTGTTCTGATAATCTGGAAATAATTTGAAATTAATAGTCTTATTGCTGACCTTTCCAGAAGTAAAATTAGCGCCCAGTTCTGCTTTCTATCAGTAGCTGAGAAAAGCTAATAGAAAAATGTATATGTGTTATAGACTAAACAGAAGTAGTATCTTCAAAGTGTCAGATGCTCTCCATCCAAGAAAGTATAGTGAGTGAATCACATGTAGGAACAAAAGCACACAATGCCATTTTGTGGATATGTCATCCAGCTTCCACCTGCTACTTCAAAAGTGTGGCTCTTCTGCAAATCCTACATCATACCTGAGGGCCCCATAGAGATGCCTTAGTGTCTCAGTAGCACTGCATGCCTGTGTTTGGGCATGTGGATGTGTCCTTAACTTATTTATTTAATAAAATGCTGTAAGAATTTTGCATAGTAGTAAGTGAACTAATCTGTTCTTTTCTTCATTGCAGTTGATGCTAACACATGGGCACAAGTTATTGCCTTGTACCCGACTTTAGTAGAATGTATCACCTGCTCCTCATCAGAAGTGTGTTCTGCTCTGAAAGAGGCATTAGTTCCCTTTAAGGACTTCATGCATCCACCAGCATCCAAGGTACAGAATGGAGAGTCTTGACCCCATAAAACTTTTTTTTTTTAGTTTTTGAAGGAAAAAAGGTATCCAAAAATGTTTGTTCCCAGGTGAAGTTTCACTGAGAAAATCTCTTGTGGCTAGTACTTGGCAAGCAATGCTGACTGCCTTTAACTGTACTAACAAGAGCTCAGTAATTCATGAACACAAGCTATATCTCAAAGGTCCAGAGTGAGTAGCAGTGCAAACCTTTAATAATTTTAACTAAGTAGTTGGAATCATTTATAATCTAATGTACTTGCTACAGTATCTTGAAGTGGTGATTGAAAAGTGGGCTTATGTACAGCTTGTTGTGTATGTGTTAATGATGTAATTAAAAATATTTCAATTCAGTCAGATTTATTAGGCTGGTGTTTTGCACCCTTTTTTTGAAGTACGAATTGTACTAAAATTTTATGCAAGATGGTACTGTAACATTCCATATATCTGTAACCAGCCTTTGTAAACAAAGGGAACTGAAATACTTGTGTGTATAATAAATGGTACAGTTCTGTATAAAATAGTTGCATTTATTATTTAAATTCTTTTTTAAATATTGATAATGTTAAATGCTTGAAAAAGTATTTATTATAAGCTGTATGCTTGCATTTTTACTTATACTTTGCCTTCTAAATTGCCAGATATGCTTGTTCATATCTGATCATGTTACTAGTTTTTTTTGCTTAATTGAATGTATCTTTTCTGTGGCCATTGGACATCTAAATGAAGAGGTCATATGACAAGATTGCAGCAAGCAGGCAGTAGCCTGCTGATCTCAAACATCAGTGTCATTGACCTGGAATAGGTTTGAATATGCAGAAATCCACTGTAGCACTTCAACACTGCCATACCTCACTTCATAATATATTTCTTTCAAAATGTTTGTTATACTCAACTCTGTTCATTTTTGTAGTTTGCAGCCTTGCTTTAAGAAATACATACATAAGGGTCATTAGTCTTTTTTGACCTTATTGCAGGTATTGTAGTCTTTGAATCATGACCCAAGAAAGGGGATTGCAAATATCTGAAATACTTGGCTGTAATACTTTGTTCAGTAATTTTAAGTGCTTTGTTTTGTAATGTCTTTTAAATCCAAATTGTTCTAACCTTTTAATTATAAACTCTCTGATATAAAACCATGAGAAGTGTATTTTTGAAGATAGCTACTGGTTTAGAAGTTCAGTAAAATTTTCATTAAGTAAATGTGAATTTTCTTTCAATTTCACGTAATACACAAGTGAAGCAAAACACTTCTAGTATTGTTTATAAAATTTGTGACAGCATTTAAACTCTTGTTGAGATAATGATTCATTAAATGTGTTGCCTGTGTTCATATATTTTAGCCTGTGATGTGAAAGCACAGAGGTCAAATGTTTAAAAAAAAAGGAGAAAAAAAAAAAAAGGTGCCTTTCAATGTATTTCAGAGCTTTCCTTTAGGCCTTCAAGTCTTTGTAGATACTAAAAGTGATTGCCGTGGTGTTAGATCTGTTTGCTTTACACTTCACTGACTGAAAGGATGCTAATTGGCACTTGTGAAGCAAAAACTGTAGGAGCTTCAAGTCAAGTTGCAAGGAACTGATCAGGGTTAGAAGGACCCTCTGTGAATAATGTTTTCAAGCACTCCTTTGAACAGTTTGTTCCTATAAAATTCCAGTTTTGTGATCCTTTCAAAAAGGATAATCAGAGAGGGAGGCTTCAGGATCTTGCACATATCTCTTTGACCAAAGTTGTGTGGAACTCAATCTTCAAATGTGAACAGTTTTTGAAGAACATGTTGTACATTAAGGAAACAAAGCCCCTTCTTTCTAGTAATAGAGTTGTTTTTTGTTTTTTTTTTTGTCAAAATAGCCTTTTTGGAGAAGCAGACCTGGGTCCCAGGTACAAATAACAAGATTATCCGTACTCTGAAAGTGAAACCCTTGCAAATGCTCTACTACTTAGTGAAAGATAAGACAAGGCCTATTAAGTTCTCAAATAAAGCAAGAGGTTGAGCAGAGAAAGGGTATTCATTTGATATAAAATCTGCTAACTTAACAAGAAATTCTGGAAAGAGGAATGCAGACCAAACTGTGGATGAGTTTGTTTATCATTAATTTCTGTCTGATTTTTCAGTGGTAACACAGATTCGTCCTAATTAAGCAAATCTTCAGCTTCATTTTAAATAGGGTGTGGGGGTGTGTGAGTCTTACCTGACTTTATCATCCACAGATATTAATCTTCTAAAGGCTTTGAAATAAATTACCACTAATGTTGCTTTGCTTCCTTTCCTCTTCATTATCAAATAATGATATCTGTGCTATTTGAGAACATTTTGGACATGCAAGCCGAGGCTGACCATACTCAAAACACTTTTTGTATAAATAGAGAACTGAAAACAAAAGTACTTAGTTTAGGGAAGACTTCTTTTAACTGACCAATTTTTTCTGTGAATAAGACTTTTTCTGTTTTCTGTGCCTTGTTCAGCACTCAAATATTTCCTCCAACTTGGAGTATCAATTTGTTTTTTTTATTATTTTTACATTTTGCTAAATATTCTTAGGGTTTCTTTCATGTAAACAGTATCCTTGAGTATTTAAATTTCATATTCTTGCATCTGTTTCGAGCAAGACAAGTTTTGTTCCTGAAAAAATGTAACATTACCTATTGAGTAAACCGTTGTCCAAGTTGCACTTTTCAAGTCTATAGGGTTGCTTAGGCATGTGAAATAAAATAAATGGACATTTTCAGGATTGAGGTCTGCATTGTGTCAGTGAAATCAGCTAGAAAAGGTTGTTCAGCTGAGTGTATAGAAATATGTCAACTGGAAGTTAGAAGAGAAACATTAACTGCCAAATGTAACCACATTATTCACTTTTTTTTCTTCTTCTCCCTAACCTTAAAAAGAAATTTGGATTGGGAATCCAGAGAGAAAATGTGAGGGTCTTCCACATTATTACAAGGCTCATATCAAGACTGTTGATAATACTTGTATTTCTCAATGCCATAAACACTGCCCCAGTGTACGCAAGGATTTAACATCATATTGTAGCTCTAAGGAGAAGGAACAGATGGCTAAAGCAGGAAATTTCTTACAAGAAAGGTTATTCTTAGAAGCATCTTTGTGGACCTTTGTTAGACTCACTCTAGTATGTCCATGACTCTCTTGTGAAAGTTTTGGGAGCAAGGACACCTGTTTGTCTACATGGTATTTTGCTTATCAGGGCAAGTGCAACTCCAACAAAAATGACTGTAGGAGTTCGTGTAAAACATAGATTTCATCTGGGGAGTAAATAATCTTCAAGTTTCACAAGTATGTTTCAGTAAAAAAAAAAGTGTGTTTTGCTATATTAATACAAGCATATTGCAGTGATGTAATTGCCTTCGTGTATGCTGGAATGTAGATCAGACGAGGCTCCTCATTCTTTGTAAATAAATACAATAGAACTTAACATGTATTTGTTTGTTTCAGCCTTCAGGTTTTATTCAGTGGAAACATAGATAATGATGTAGGCAGGATGTACAAAAAACTCTCTAAGATTTTGAATTAAACAGAATTCTTTCACGATAAAAAAAAGCGAAATTGCATGAAAAGCGGTATTACAAGTATGCTAGAAAACAGGATTATACTGAACATCACAACTGGTAAAATTCTCTCCCAAACAACAAGATGAAATTCATCAAGATAAATGTGAGATTCTCCACTCAAGCAGCAGTGAGTTTTCTCCATTTTATTTTGCCACCTTTATTGAATAGGAGACTGATGGTTTCCCATGTTTTGATGGTTTTCCTTAGGAAATTTTTCCAATTTAAAAATGGCTGTCATTAGCACTATCAAAACTAGTTCTGAAAACATGTTTTACAGCAGTGGAATCTCTTTTGTCAATACTATAATCCTCTCATCACCTGAAGCACGTTCTTAATAGAAAGGATGTATTAAATACAGCTACCATCTTTTTTTCTTTATCAAAAATACTGCAAAGTTGAAGCATACTCAAAGGCCCCAACTTATGGCTGTTTAATACTGTTAAGAAGGCATGTTGGTTTGTTTTTTGTTTTGTTTTAGTTTTTCAGGAAGGGTTGCCCAGAGATAAGAAAGAAGGAAAGTCCCTTCTAAGTCAGATGCCTGTTTAGCATGTTCAGAGTTTTATTTTTGAAGACCCTGGTCTTTAAGCTGCAATTACAATTATTGCTCTCTGTGTACAGAATACCTGTCTTAGGCTTGGAATGAGCTAAGCGACTTGGCCATGACCAGTGATATTTCCAAAGCTGACATCTTCAAGATTGCTGAAGCTGGTGAGGATGACAGACTGTTGGGAAACCTGGCATTGCCTTCTCTGTTGTTTTCAATGTTAGCTGTTTCTTGGAACTGTTAAAGTTGTCAAGGAATTACTTAAGTTTCTGGCTTCCTTGCCAGAGGACTTTCCCTTCTTTCCCCCATCAGAGCGGGTCATATCAGGAAAGGGACTGAGACCCCACAAAAAATAGCACTCAAAACTGGATTGCCACCAATAGAAGACCTTTACAATGCACAGACAAAAGTCTGTTTCTGATCATCTTTCACAAGGAGGCATGGAAAGGGACAGGAATATTATGCACGTACATGTACAAAGAACCAGCTTCTGGAGTACATCAGAAGTATTACTTGCAGATATGCTTACTGAACATCTGTTCATGCCTCCGGGTTTGGCGTTGTAGCATGATATGGCACTGCCTTACCTCTAAAATGATCCCTCGACTCTGTGCACAGTACTGCACTGGAACAAATGAGGAAAGACGTTTACATTTCTTTTAGAGAAGTCTTATTTAAATATTTTCTCATAAAATATGAAATCAATAACCTGTGTCAAAGCCGAATGCACTCTAATGTCTTAAATTTTTAAGCAGTTATGTGTTGCCAAAGCCTTAAAGAGAATGCAGTGAACTGATGAAGTAGTACGCAGCCCTGCCTTGTGAGACTGACAAGCAAGTTTTTGAAGAGTTAAAGCATGGTCTGATTGCAACTCAGTTGTACTTTATCCAGCTGAAGTCAATCAGTTCAAAGTTGGAGACAGATTAGGAGCTGAAAAAGAAGAAAGCTTGATTTTTCCTCTTCCATGCATAGGACTGATCTGTGAGCGTAAAATGCTCTTTGTCTAAAAGCTGAAGGCAATAGTAGCTACAGTTCTGTCCTCCTTTTAACACTGTGTATTTCCTGAATGCATCTGGCACACCTGAAACAGATCGACATAAGAAAGAATTAATTTGAATGCCTTTCTCCTTTGCAAATTCTACTTTGCATCCAAATAGAGCCCTGTGCTAACTAACGGGATGTTAAATCGTTGGGAAAAATGTACTTAGAACATTTTCTGGAAAAAAAAAATTGGATTTAAAAAATAAGATACTGAATTACTAATTATGTAAAATGCATTTCCTAATTGGAAAAGATGGCAATCTTAGCACAAAGGCTATTGTTTAATTGCAAGCAAACATTTAAATAATTGCTAACAAAGTAGCAATCTTTTTGGAAAGATAAATACAAGTGCAAAATAAGGCAAAAAATATAGCTCCATGCTTATTTTCATCATTATTAAAAATAAGCCACTTTTCTGTTTTGTTTTTTAAATAAACACTTTTAGATTTTCCCATTTGTGTTTCTTTTTCAGAACTCTTTTTTTTCACCTGTACACAAACAGCTGAGTAGAACCTGCACTTGCTGTACCCATTCCTTTGTAGTATTTAGCTTCCTTTGCACTGACCTCAAATAGCAGAATTACTGTAAGTCTTACTGCCCCTGCGTGAAATATCATCACGTGCCTTTCTGTAGGAATCAGGACTTGTAGAACGTTCAACTTTGCACTGGTTCCAACGTCTTTTAAACAAGCAATCGATGTAGTATCAACCCTGTTGCCAACATAGGTGCAAACTTTAAAGCAGGCAACTACAGACAGGATCGTTATGAAGTATTTCCATCTTTGGATCTCGGGTGCAGTGTTTTGGCTGCTTTCCAGCATGACTTTGTCAACAGATTTGTTACAAGTTGACTCTGAAGCCATGGGTTTGATGCTAGGACCAAGGTGCGTGTGTAGCTTTGTGCTGACAAACCTAAGGCTATTCTATTTCTTTTACGTTTAGCTGCAAGCGGGGTTATTTCTGCACCCTGCATTACTGCATAGCTCCTTATCTGTGTGTTTGACTCCTGCCCGCAATTCTTCTCGTGCATCGGTAGCGATTTTTGGCAGTTTGTTCCCCAGATGCGTTGAGGGACAAAATGAACTCGCTTAAAACATCAGCGCTCCTAACTCTGTGCGCTCTCGTAACGACGTTCAGTCAGTTTCTAGTACGGAGCAATCGCACTGGGGTCAATTCCCATTTAAAAACACAAACCAGGTTCAGATCTGACTCCACAAACAAAGCGTTCGAGCGCACAGTCCCTCCGCGCTGCGCTGCCCTCCGGCACTCCCTCCCCGCCGCCCTCAGCGCCCCTCTGCCCACCGCGCTGTGGAACAGCCGGGCGAGGTCCCGCCGCACCGAGCTCCCCCAGGCGGCGGTCCCAGCAAGCAGCCCTAGTGGACGGCCGGCTCTTCCCGCGTCTTTCAAGAAGCCCCGGATCGAGAGCGGGAGCGCCCCGCTCCCAGCATCCGCCGGACGAACGTTAACTCCCCCCCCAGCCGCGCAGTCCGGTGGGAGTCGAGGGGAGTGGCACAGCGCTCCCCTGCGAGCACCGGCCTTCCGCCCGCCCGCGCCATCTTGAACGCGAGCCGGGGGCAGCGGCCTCCCCTCCCTCCCCAAGATGGCGCCGGCCGGGTGAGTGACATGTCCAGTCACGTGGGCAGCGGATGAGCCCCTCTCTCCCCCCCGCCTTAAACGATCTCTATGGTTCGGCCGGACACACGGGCGGTGGCGGGCGGCGGCGAGGGACGGAGCCGCGGCGGGAGCGGGGCCGCCCGGCGCCCCTTTGTCTGCGGCCTCGGCAAGGCGAGCGCTTTTCCTTCCCCGATCGCGAGGGCCGCGCCCCAGTGCCCTCGAGGGTTCGCCTTCCTCCTTCCCGCCGGCACCGCGGCCCGGGAGAGGCGGCGGGCGCTCCCCGCTGAGAGCGCCGGCGCGGAGCTCTGTCCCGGCCTTGCGGGCGGCGGCGCGGCCGAGCTGCGGGAGCGGGGCCGGGCGGCGCCTCCGCCCCGTGCTCCCCG